GAAAGAAAGAAAGAAAGAAAGAAAGAAAGAAAGAAAGAAAGAAAGAAAGAAAGAAAGAAAGAAAGAAAGAAAGAAAGAAAGAAAGAAAGAAAGAAAGAAAGAAAGAAAGAAAGAAAGAAAGAAAGAAAGAAAGAAAGAAAGAAAGAAAGAAAGAAAGAAAGAAAGAAAGAAAGAAAGAAAGAAAGAAAGAAAGAAAGAAAGAAAGAAAGAAAGAAAATGTGAAAACAAAGGAAAAGAAAGAAAAGTCAAACGTGATCAGATCAAGAACGGATTTCTTACTCTTATTCTGGCACTAGGCTGGTTTTGTTTAATGTTGCTCCAGATGTGCATGAGGAAATGAGTCACTGCTTTATTATCATTTATTGAATCAACCAACTAACAAAGCATCCATGTCCCTCCCTGACCACAGACTACAGAACCGGACCATGTTTCACCCAGGTGAACAACCAGATGTGCCAGGGCCAGCTCAGTGGGATTGTCTGCACCAAAACTCTTTGCTGTGCCACGATTGGCCGAGCGTGGGGCCACCCCTGTGAGCAGTGTCCTGCCCAGCCGCACCCCTGCAGACGAGGCTTCATCCCCAACATCCGCACCGGAGCCTGCCAAGGTCAGACCTCACTCCTCCTCTTCACGAGTGCACGCCTGGCAGATCTTCTTTTAAACACGTTGTCAACAGCTACATATGAAGGAGGCCAACACACGTGCACGCACACACACAGCCACTGTGATAAACGTCCTAACCATTACTTTGTCCTTCATCATTTGAGCTGACATTCCTGCTGAACAACATCCGCAATCCAGTGTTAACAACACCGACGACACACGAGAACAACCACTCGGACTCAAGCTAGATCTTTATTTTAGAACTCTCCTCTAGAGAAATAAAAACAGTTAACAATCCAAACACTATCAAAACTTCCTTCCTTCTTCTCCTTTTTATATGTAGTGTTAAAAATGCATCTGCTCATCTAAAAGCATAAAGAACTCACTGAAACAGAAACCCTTTCCTGTTGTTAAATGGACTTCTTTTCCAGCCTAAATTTATTTTACTAGACAGCTGGGAGTCTTTGCTGGGCAATAAACTGGTTCTGTAAAAGAAACTGTGACATCACGTTGTTTCTGTTGTCCTGGCTTTTGGCTTTAAGACTCCAAAAGTGTAAACAGAAAACCATGATTACAGAGGAGGAATGGCATGTACCATGAAGGCTCTTCAAAAAGGGGATTCCAAGGATGTACTTTGTTTTGGAGCTGGACTCAGTTAAAGACAACTCAAGATATCTCTTGTTTTTGCTGTAAAGCTCCAAGATGCTGTAATTATTTAAACCACATTATGAGCAAAGTTTATCTGTTGCTATTCATTTCAGATTGGCTTACAGGAAATTTGTAGACATAACATAAATAAAAAAGCTGGACATTTGCTCCATGTGTGGCTCTGTAATAATCCGTGACCCCAGCCAGACTAAACAATGAGCTTACATCAATAGATGACACATATGGAGGTCACGCCCCCTCCTCAGCCCCGATAATGGCTCCATACAGCTTTTCTTTTACCTAACACCAAACATTATGATGAGCAGAAATGTTATTCTTATTAGGGAAAAGAACTTCAGCTTTATGCAAATAGGTTTGGAGTTTTTAAGATGCATTAATGGTTTACTACTGAAAAGTTAATATTGATAGTTATTTCTTGCTCAACATGGACTCCCTGTACAACCTGATACTTAAAGAGACAATGTGTAGTTTTTATCATTAGTCTCTGGAATATACATCGAAATAGTGTTAAAATTAATAAAAAGATGCCCAGTTGTTGAAAAATATTGGCTGCTTCATAACATATAACCATACAAATCAGGTCTAAACTACATGGGGGCGGGTCTAAGTCTCTGGGCGACGCTGTATTGTCATTTTGCTGGAGGATGAATGATCTGACGAAGTATACGTTCAAAAATTGTGCTCCATCTTTCCCTCACTCATGAACAAGACTTGAGATACTTTAACTCCTCCACTTGGGGCAGGACCTCATCCCTGACCCGGAGACAGACCCGGAGACGGCATTCTACCCTTTTCCGACTCAAGACCAGGGTCTCGGATTTAGAGGAGCTGATTCTCATCCCAGCTGCTTCACATGCTTCTGCTGTAAACTGCTCCAGCGAAAGCTGAAGATCATGTTCTGATGAAGCCAACGGACCACATCATCTGAAAAAAGCAGACACCCGATCCTCAGGCCACCAAAACGGATCCCGTCAACACCTTGACTGAGCCATGCCTATGAGCTGCCTCTGGAGTCCCACAGGCCAACAGACCTGATAGGACTCTTTCTTCAGCTTGACAGCATCCCTAACCCAGTGCTTTCCCAGAAAATTTTCCGGCCATGTCACGTGGGATGGGTGGGGGGTGTTTCGTTGCTCACGGACCATTTTTCTGCCGTTTAATGTGTTTGCGTGTGTTGGGGTGGAATCTCATAGGCGTGACACTGGAATTTCAGCGCAGCGCCTACGCAGGGGGAACGCTGCTAACCGCTGGTGTCCACCATCAGGTTTGGAGGTTGCCACCATGACAGGCATCGACAACCCTGTGACCATAGCTCTGGCTGACTGCCAAAACAATGAAGGCATAGAACAGGGCCCATTAGGACTCAATGTCCCCCGCCTCCCCCAGCACGGTTTGAAAGTTCTGTCAGAGATGGGAATTAAAGCTCCTTCTGACAGGAGACTCTGCCAGACATTCCCAGCAGACCCTCGCAATACGTTTGGGCCTGCCAGGTCCTCACCCACCATCAGAGCCAGCTCACCACCAGGCAGTGGTCAGTTGACAGCTCCGCCCCTCCCCTCACCCGAGTGTCCAAGACATGTGGCTGCAGATCAGACGAAACGACAACAAAGTCGATCATCGAGCTGCGGCCTACGGTATCCTGGTGCCAGGAGCACATATGGACACCTTTATGTCTGAACAAGGTGTTCATTATGGACAATCCATGACTGACAAAGAAGTCCAATAACAAAACACCACTCAATTCAGATCAGGGGGGCCATTCCTCCCAACCACACCTCTCCAGGTCTCACTGTGGTTGACCACGTGAGCGTTAAAGTCCCCCTGCTGAATGACGGAGTCACCGGAAGGAACGCTCTTCAGCACCTCCTCCAAGGTCTCCAAAAAGGATGGGTAGTCTGAACTGTAGTTTGGTGCATAAGCACAGACCACAGTCAGGACCCGTCCCCCCACACGTAGGCGGATGTAGGCTACCCTCTTGGTAACCGGGGTAAACCCCAACGTACAGACATCAAGATGGGGGGCAACTAGTATGCCCACCCCTGCTCGGTGCCTCTTAGTGGGGGCAACTCCAGAGTGGTAGAAAGTCCAACCCCTCTCAAGGAAACTGGTTCCGGAGCCAGAGCCATGCGTTGAGGTGAGTCCGACTATATCTAGTCAGAACCTCTCAACCTCACACACCCCCTTCATCAGCTTTTTTACACAGTTTTTAAAGCATTTTTAATCAACTTTTTAAAAAACGTTCTCAAGCACTTACAAATATTTTTTTACTTGAATGCTTCTTCACTCCCTTTTGCCCAATGTTGTATCTGATAATGATGACATACGTGTGTGTTGCTGCATGTGCTTGAACACAGGAGGAAGGACCTACAGGTCAGAGAACGAATCTAAAACAGTTCCTTCTCCAATAATGGTCAGGTGGACTGAAAATGGCTAAAGCAGCAGTCGGTTTTGTAAGATCTTTATAAAAGCTTGGAGTATTACCGGATCAGCCCCAGTCTGGCTCCTTGGAAGCAAGGGTTGATTCAACACTTTTGCATGGCTTCTTTCATCAGTGCTGCCTGGTTGCTCATATGTTCAAGGCGTGCCAGAGTAATATGGTAACTCATCTCTATGACTCACATAACTCTTCTCAGACTTCAATTTTTTTTACAAATTGTGCTCTTTAGTCTCTGAATTTCACTTTTTGTGTTCCCCTTTTTTCTGTTTCCACTCACACGCTTTCACACACATGCACACACTCAAGGCACTGAATCACCAGAGAGCCTCGAGCAATGTCTCTCTGGCAGCAGTACAAAGCACACATGACCATGAATCCAAATGTAAGGATTCCAGGCTCCACGTCAGGATGTTGGCCACAAATCCCTTTCTTTCTGATGCAGGTTTTTACTTTTTTAGAGTTTGACAGCACCTAAAACTGTTTCAATCAATGGCAATTGCACCATTTAGATTATTAGAAACATGTTTTTATGTAGCATTGTTGTGCGTGCGTGCAGCTGCTCTGAGACACTTTTTGAAAGCGTAGCTGGAAGCTCAGAATACTTGGACCCAGATCAGGGACTGACACTGATGTGAATATAAACCTACTGTGTGTGCGCGTGAGTTTGTGCATGTGTGTGTGTGATCAGAAGTATTCATGCTTTTTACAAGAACTGACCCACTTAATACTGGTAAAAGTGACTCATAGATTTCTGGGAAAAACGTACATTTAAAAAGTCATTTCCTGTTTCAATAAGAGCTGGAGTCAGTCTTCATGGACGTGGTCTTAGACATCACAGCCGCGTTTCTGCACACTGAAATAAGACTGAACAGTTTTTGCTTGTTCTCAGAAATGCCTTTCTTTTTTTCCCTCCCTCTTCCCAGATGTGGATGAGTGCCAGGCGGTTCCAGGTCTGTGTGCCGGAGGAAACTGCATCAACACAGTTGGATCCTACGAATGCAAATGCCCCGCTGGCCACCGTCAGAGTGAAACCAGCCACAAATGTGAAGGTGAATCACTGGAATAGAAATCTGTGACAATGTTGTTATACGTAGGGTGGAAATATATGACAGTGACTGTAAAATTTAATCACTGTGGTCTGTAAAGTCACCACCTCATCTGACCATGCTGACAATCCATGTCTCGGACTGTGGTTTTTACTTGGTCGATCTCAGATTGAACCACCGCCATGTTGTTTTTAACTTCTGCCTTCAACGCCTGTAGCTCGTTTTTAAGGAAGTCGAAGTCGTCAGCCAGTGCGTTCTTCATTTCTGATTTTACCACCGTTGAAATGTCAGTTTTCAGCTAGAGCAGAATCTCCAACTTCAGGGACTTAGCGTCCATCTCTGATTTAACGTTAGCTGACCGTAGCTGTGGTGGAGATGCTCTTGCCCCGGTGCTGGTAGCAGTGTGGCTCCCGGCGGTGTTAGGCCTCGTGTTCGCTGCTCCAGTGTATTGAAATTTACGCAGATTCGTTGCCATTCACTCAAATGTAGAATTTCTCTAAGCTCTGGAAATGTTTTCAGAGCAGATTAGTCAATTGTTAAATATATTGTGCGCATATTAATTTAAAATAAAGAAATAAAGAAAGAAGTTCGACGGGAGCGCAACTAAACACGTCTCACTCCATCGCCAGCTCAACAGCGCCCCCTATAGGGCACAATTTTAACTCCTTTTTTTGTTTATCAGTTTTTCAGGGCAGTGGCCCTCCATACCTTGGGAATCTGTTAGAAAGACATGTACCCTCTAAGTCATAGCGCTCTGCAGATCAGTTCCTGCTAATTGTTCTTTGCTCCAGGTCCAGGAAATGTGGGGATAGGGCATTTTCTGTTTTAGCACCGTCCATCTGGAACAAGTGACCTCTGAACATTAAGCTGTCTCCATCCATCTTTGGCTGCTTTTAAGAGTCGCCTGAAGACTCGTTTTTATTGTCTGGCTTTCACCTAGTCCTAGTGACTGGTTTGAACTGATCTTAATAGTTTTTTTTTATTTTAGTTTGCTACTATCAATTTTTTTCTTTTTGATCTTAGTCCTATTGGTGTTTTGTTTTGTAGCAACTTCACCAAATGGCAGAAACTCCTCCAGTCTTTAGTTATTTACGGAGATAAAAAAAATTAATGTTGTAAGTCAGTGGTAAAGTCGCATTGCTGTTTTCCAATTTGAGGTGAGATGTCCAATTATCAGGAAACAAATCTTAAGCTCAGCTGTAATGCTGCTAGTTCCTGGAAATAGTGCGCCGGTATATTTGCCCCCCCCCCCCCCCCCCCCCCCCCCCAGTCATAAAAGACATGAAAGCACTGAATAAGTGTCTTTTAGCGTCTGATGAGTTCACAATTATTACTGGCCTACTCAGCAATGCATGTTATAACAACAAACCAAACAACATGCATAAACCCCGTCAGATCTTCATGAGCGTTCCCTCTCTGGTGACTGTAGGGTTTTTGGGATCGGTCTGAAAATGTTCACAGGCGCTTAAAGTTTAAGTGTAAGTTTAAACACACACTTATGGAAATGTGTTGGCTCTCATCGGAGCGGATTTGCATTAAAGCTTGTTGATTGGCTGGAATTTAAACAATGCACAAGCTAAACAGCCTGATGGTTAACCAGTAAGGGGTTGTGTCTGTTGGACCGAAGCCGATGTGTTCTCCGTCTTCTGGGAGGATTACAAAAAAAATTTCTAAACCTCTTCATCCAGATGAAATTTATTCCACTGAACGAGACAAGGCCTGCACTGTCTCACAGTGCATGAATTATTATCCAATTTTGACTTTTATTAGCTTGTAGCAGAGGTGTTTGTATGTGCTGGAAACCAGTGTTTCCACATTTAGATTCATTGGAGGCAATTAACATGACGAACCAATAGTTGATTTATGACCGAGTGAATAAAGGAGGAAATCGGGAGGATGACTTCTATAAATTCACTAAAATCTAAGTCTCTGATGTGGCTTTGGGGGGAATGCCACCTCTGGTGAGAAGAGAGTGAACGTTTCCAGAGATGCTGAGCTCTGCTCACAGGGATTTGGATGTGGATGCTGTCCGTGCCTTCCTGCTGATATAACACAGCAGAGAGATCTGAATCAAAGCTGCACACACCAAGGACACTCAAATCCAAGAAGCCAAGGGTCTAAATGTTAAGCAACTTCTTTTTCTCCCATCTAGTCTCTGAATCCTCTGAGTAATCCCAACCAGTTTAGACTGATGAGTTTGTGATGAGAAGCGTAACAGCCTAATAGCTAACACATCTCCTCTTTTTTATACTCTGCTTCCATTGAAACCAAAGTGTTTTGCAATCTTTGTAATGTCGTTTTTAGCAGTAGTTCTCCAGACCTTCTTTTGTACTTTTGCGTGGTTTTAAGGATTAGAGATATCTAATCTGCTTGTGATTGCCTGCAAGAGGAGATGGCGCATTTTTCTGAAAGGACTAACTCGAGTCAATATACATTTCTGGTCAAGACTTGAAGTTTTACAGAACAAAGTCTGCAACATCATGGACCCAACTGGCCTAAAAATCTATACTAACCACAGTGGTAGCAAAAGATTTTGCTCTGCACGTCGGTCGAGCCACGCTCCATTGTAGGTCTACTATTGGACTAAACAGTTTTGTGTACAATCACAGCATTGTTTGTGTGTAGAGGGACAATGGGTGGGCTTTGGCAGCAGAGCTGCAATGAAAAAAAACTACAAAGATGGCGTAGACTCAGTAACATTTGTTTGGAATGGCTTTGGCTTCAACTTTGGATGATTTAGACTTGGGCTTTTTTTTTTTGAGACGTGAGCTGATAGATCTACTAAAGTCATTTATTTAAAAAGCATATTTGTTTCTTCTTTTTACTACTACTGATGGTATATGGGGGACTTCTGTTGTGGTGAATACGTCACGTTGTTCAATGTTCTGATTGGTCCCAGCACTGTCCAATTACGTTTGGAGACACTTTGAAAGTTAACTGTAGAATACGCCCCATGACTGAGCTCAGACTGTATATTTACATATCTAGGACGGCTTTCAGGACTAAGACCTAATAGTTCTCCAGGACAGATCTTCACTATGTGCGTCCAAGTCTGAACTGAATGTCCAGCCAATAAAGGGCTCAAAGACGACTGAATATTGGCCTAGCCCTTTTTTTTTCACTTACTTAACTCTTGCTAAAGAACTGTGGGTTATGCTTAAATGTCAGATTTACAGTGAGGGAAGACAAAACACCTCCAGGAACAACATTTGGAGGCCACTTCTTTCTGCTCTGATGGAAGTTGATCTTGAACAAATAAAGAAGCAGACAGACTCCCTGGATGGAGGGCTCATGGCTGTAATGGAAAATAAGGACTGGTTAATTTAACACATTTGGTTCTGAAGCCATTTGGGCTGCTCTCTTGTTACATTATTGTTAAATTAAACAAACGAATTGTATCATTTATTTGACTGATAACATGCCACATTTATGTGATTCTCAAAATAGCGTTTAACTGTTTGGCAGCGGAGTTTCTGGATTGGATTTATCAAACCCAATAATCATAAAGGATTAAAATACTTCCTAATATGATTAACAATTCAAAGTAATGTGATTGTGGGTTTTCACAGTTACTAGATCTTTCTCCCTTTTTTCAGAAAACATGTTTTTGTCTGAAGAGTAGAGTGATTCAATGTGCCGTTTGTTCACTTTTACCGGTGTAGGATATGAGGGGTGGGGTGAAGTGTTCTGAAAGGTTGTAGAAACAAAAGCTCTGTTGTGTGATACTTTGTAGGTCAAGGATCTGCAGGAAACGCGTGTTTAGTAAAATCTCACAAACAGTCAGACCAGGTCCTTTGGGAAGAGCTTTCACTGAAAAGCCAGTTTACTGTAGCTAACACACAAACAACCTCACAGAGAGCTGTACCGGTGGAATTATTGAGGTTTTGGAGCGGGTGCCATTAAGTGCGGTTAAAATGTCATTGGTGCTTTAGACGCAACAAAGCTCTTGGTTTTATGGGCCAGACTGTACTTAATCTTGTAGCTTTTTTTTGCCTCCATCCATTTTCTTCCATAAACCAGCTGCTAGTAATGAACAAAAACACGACTTTCTCATTACACAGACCTCCCTGCAGTGCTGAAACCTACAGATTCACACAACACAAACGCTCCGTTACTGACAGCTTCATGTGGCTGCATTAGTTCAGCTTCATTGTAAAATGAAATAGTGGAAAAAAGCATAGTTTTTTACATTCTGATGACACACTCGTTTTGAAACACATGGCAGCTTTAATGCGTTCGTTGTGGACATTTATACAGGTGACACACATTTCCGTTTGCACACACAGGCGTGTTTAGGGCAACGTCTGGCGTGCTGACGCTGCTGACACTTTTATTTGGCTGTGTTTTTTTAGCCAGACTCAGGCCTTCTGCCACTGACACACGTCAGCACGGCTTCCTGAGCTGGGTGTTGCTACATATTAAGACGCCGACACAAAGAGCACACAGATTGAAGTTATGTGCACTCCACTGAGATACATTTCAAATGTTTCACTTTTAGCTCACCTGTCTAGTGGTTTGTTTGGATGAGGTGAAATCTTGGATGGCTTTTAACTTTTTAAATTTTAATGGGAAAAAGACAGGTACCTCCAGCAGGCCCACTCCTATGGACTTAGGCCCCCTGGCACTGCACAGAAAGCCAACAGCCAACAAAATCAAATACAGGCCATTTAACAGCGACCAACTTGGGTTCTAAAATGGATAGTGATTTTAGGTTGGACAGTCAGATCAGTGCTGTTGTCAAATCCAGTGCAAAGGTAAAGCACATTTTAACTAGAGAGGATTTAAAACTTGTCATGGATTTTATCAATATGTTTATCAATAACCCATTTCCTATGGTCGGAGAGAAAAGGGAGACAATGAACAAGTCAAACGGTTATAACTGTGGCAGATGCACGAGGCAAAATGCACCGAACATCCGGTCACAGAGTTTATTTATAGAGAGGGAGAGATTGTGTGAGTGTGTGTGTGTGGGAAGTCAAGAATGTGTGTGTGTGTGTGTGTGTGTGTGTGTGTGTGTGTGTGTGTGTGTGTGTGTGTGTGTGTGTGTGTGTGTGTGTGTGTGAGTGGCTTGTGTGGGTGTGTCTGAATGAGTGAGCATGCAGAGAGGCATAGAGCAATACATTTACATCCAGTTGATTGAGTCCATGATCAAGAATTAATAAACATACGTTTTTCCATAACAAAACTGTAATCCATGCTTTTATTACAACTCGTCTGGATTACTGTAATGCTTTGTATTTTGGTATGAGCCAGTCCTCACTGTCTCCACTTCAGCGGGTGCAAAATGCTGCTGCTCGACTTTTAACTGGTACAGGGAGGAGTGAACACATCACTCCTGTTTTATCTTCACTGCACTGGCTGCCTGTCCATTCAGGGTTCATTTTAAACTTCTTTTAATTGTTTTAACGGTCTTGCCCTGCCCTACCTCTCTGAGCTATTGCACATTCTCTCCTCCTCTCGGTCGCTCAGGTCATCTGACCAGTTGCTCCTGGATGTTCCAAGGACACAGCGCAAGCTCAGAGGGGATAGGGCCTTCACTGTTGCTGCTCCCAGACTATGGAGCTCTTTGCCGACACATCTTAGAAAGGCTTCCTCACTGTAAACTTTTAAATCATCTTTAAAGACCCACCTTTTTAGCTTGGCTTTCGACGCCGTGTGAAGTTTAGGATTTCTATTTGATTTTAGTGTTTTATTTTAGTGTGCTTTTAACTTTCATACTGCATTCTATTTTATTCTGTTTTATGCTTTTATGTTTTATGTTCAGCACTTTGGTCAGTGAGGGCTGTTTTTAAAGTGCTTTATAAATAATGTTGGCTTGGCTGTAACACCTCTGCAGAAACAGAGTAATACTGCAAAGGCTTTGACACTTATTGTAAAACCACAGAAAAATATAACTTTTATGAAGTCGACTACACTGACAGGGAGCCTCAAACATCTGAAATGTCACTCACACACACACACACACACACACAGAGATCAGTTATGCATCTTCTGATCTAAATAAATGATATGTATTTAATCTACCCAACCCTTTCATGTTTTAGTTAGCCATTTTGTAAAAATCCATTAAATTATGACCTCCAGTCTGGTGGGGAGTCTTTACTTTTGTCTCAAGTGAATGAACAAAGATAATCTGTAAATGTTCTCGAGAACTGGATTCTGGGATAATACCAATAAATGCTTTTGGTTATTAGGCTGGTATCAGATTAACTTGAGGGGCAGGGGGGTGTTTGAGGCTCTGTGGCAACCTCCGAACCCTTGTTGTGTTCTTTGCAGTGTTTGCAGGACCCACATCTGTTCCAACAGGAGATAGTGGGTGGGTGGAGAATAGTAGAAGGCTGCAAGGAAATAATCTTTAGCGAGTGTAAAAAACAATATTTTTTCATTCAATCGTCAAAAGAAAAACCTGTAGATTTGTTGGTTTATTTAAAAGTTTTGTGATGACTTCCTACTGTTGGATGTCACTGCCAAACACAGACACATCAAACACGTGCAAGCCAGCACACGTAGTGATCTGAGGTGTTTATGATGTGACTGTGTTTCAGATATCGATGAATGCAGCACCATTCCTGGTGCGTGCGATGGCGGAGAGTGCACCAACACCGCCGGTAGTTATGTCTGCACCTGTCCACGAGGCTACATCTCTACCACCGATGGATCCAGATGTGTGGGTGAGTCATCCAGAAACTCCAACATCGTTTGCACCTTTCACTCTTAAGAGTGCATTTCTTCAGCAAGCTGAGCGCTTCACATCTGGCTGGTAATTTGCCTTCATCCCTGCTTCCTGTGAGTAAGGTTCTGATGAGTGAAGCCAGCCTGCAGACCTGTGGTCACCATGTGCAAACACACTTGCACGCACTGTTTGGCCTCGACAACATTAATCTATACCAATGTTTGGTGCTCGTCTGACTCACACACATCACATAATTCACTGTCATGTCCACGGAAACTGTACCAGGTGCTCATGTATTCCTGCCACGCTCCCCCATCATTGCAGCTACAGTGAAAAAGAGCCAGGCGTGGTTTTATTTCACCGTACTCTAAGAAATGGACAAATCAAGATTGGCCTCTTTTACCTTTTCAGATTTATGGGAGAAAGACAGACTCGTCTCAGCACTCAGACTGCTGTAATCAAAGAGAGATGTTTGTTTTGTTCTCAAATCTAATATTCCATTACGTTTCCTAGTGGTGGAATATCGGATTTCCTTGTATTCATGGAAAACAACAGATTTGTTTAGGAAAATGTGACCCAGTATTTGGGTAGAATTTATCAAAGACACTCAGATCATGAATACCAACATTTGACACGAGAGGTGATCTCACTGGTGGCTTATGAGCTTGTCAGACGTAAACTGATCGTTCTGAGGAAACAAACACATGGTGTTGCACAGCAAAAAGCAAGAAACATAATAGAAAACATAAACTCTTCAATGACTGAGTGTCTGGTTTAAAAGCAGTCACTCAGTAAACATTCTTTTCTCAGAGATTTCCACACATTTTTGGATGCCAGCTGATGGGATATATTGACTTGGGGCTTTGAAAGGCGTTTTGGGCCAATTCGAAGTGTGTTTAGATGTATTCATTATAAATAATTCCTATCTTAGCATTTTAGACTACCTGGATTACCGTTTTTTGGAGAAACAGAGTTTACAACCAACAAGACTGATGAGCTAACGGTTAGTCTGAGCCAGACAGACATCTAACTTGTAAAATGTTTCATGTGAAACATTTTCTTATCAAACAGTTTCACTGAGTTAAATGACCACAATGCTAAATTAATATAAGTCTAGTCTAGTGTTAATCAGTTCTCAAACCTTTTCAGAGCTTTTTCAGTTTTATTTTTTAACCCCCGACAGATGTTTTTTAAGGTGCGGTTCACTGAAAAAACATTTTTTAGTGATCATTTCTGATACAGTCGTTAACATACAGATCTTCATGCAGGTTGAACATGAAAATAGTCTCCTACACCTATCTCCTGCATTAGCTTCTGATAGGAAATAGACGGTGAAACGCTGGGATTTGACAAGCCTGGCAGATCCACGTCAAGCGGTTGCTTGAACTCACCCATCTGGTCTCGCGACGGGGAAGGCTGTTGTTGTTTTATCGTCCAGAATCAGCAGAAAATGTCTCGGCTAACAGAAGCTAACCACAATCCAAACTCAACCACACCGCAGAAGCTCCTCCAGACTTGTGTTATTTGTGTAGATTGTAGGGGGGTAAATATTGTTGCTTTTAGGCCTAATATATTACCTTTACTTATGACCAATAAGCTGTGTTATTCTATATAAATACAGAATTTCAACCTGCTTGGTCTTTGGATGTTTAATCAGAAGATTCTAGGATTCTTTGCTTTTTCAGGGATCAAACCCACTTTGTCTCAATTCAGACAGAGTCAGGTTTATAAAGGCAAGAAATGTATTTTCTAAACAAATAAAAATATGACAAGTTAACTAAGACGACTGAGATGGATGCATCTAAGTGGATGGGATGTGATGTATGGTGATTGAATGGTGTGTGTTTATCAGAACCTTGTATCTAGAAGAACTGAGTTCTGGGTGTGGAAAAGAATTTGGTTTGCATTAAACTATGAAGTTGGTTCTCATTAAAACGGCATCAGACGCAACCATGTTGTGTTCTACGTACCCCTGAGGAGACTCCCTTTCGGATCCGAGATATTGGGGGGGGGGGGGGGGCTGACTCCAAGGTACCGACGTCCGTAGAAAAGACCGCAGTACGACCAGGTCAGTCCAGAGTCGTCTCCCTGATCACAACAGATAGATGAAATTCTTTGCGTCTAGAACAGCTGTTTCTGAATAGCTGAAGGGACCGTTTTGCTGTGTCACTGCAGGCAGCTTTTAGCTCGTCGAAAGCTTGTCAAGAGATGCGGTGGCTAGAGAGTGTTCCTACGATGGCCAGTCAGAGTTAGCTCAACTAACAGGATGCTGAATCTCACAGAATGCTGGAATGACCAATCACTCCCCAGTGATTCTGTTTTAATATTCTCATATTATGATTTACTTGGCCAATCGGGACGTGCCATGTTAGGGGCGTTAACAACAAACCCTCAGAACATCACGCCTTCTTTCAGATACAGGATGCTCTGATTTGTGGCTAAGAAAATATCTATGTGCAGTGATGTTATTTAACTTTAATTTATCTCTAAAGAACATTGTGTCTGAGTGTAGAAAATGATTCACTTGTTAAACCAAACATTACTGATCATCAAAATAACATTCATTTCAACTTCATTAATTCAAGCACAGATTAATCAGCCTTATTAATTTAAGCACCGATTAATCAAAACATTATTAATATTCATCAACCGTTATTGTTCATTCAATCATATGATTACTTACTATTATAACGGTTCAGTCCTTTATTCTGTGCAGGACAGTCTAGATGAGCAGACAGGCTTGGCAGAGAAGAGCCTTGAGAAGGGAACATGATGTTGACAATCTGAGTGTAAACACGCAGTGTCGAAACTTTTCCTGCAGCCTGGAAGATTAAGAGACGCACAGAGGCAGATTCATGACTGTAGATGCCCGGTGGCATGTAGGCCAATCTGTAGGTGAAAACTGACCATTCCTGGACGTTACAAGATGTTGCAGAGCAGTCAGTGATAGAGCCAAGTTGCTGTTATCCAATCCAAGGCAAGATATCCAAATATCAGGAAATAGGACTCCAAATCCTGCTCTCCTCTGATGTGGCAGACTTGTTCGTACTGAAGCAGGTGTTTCTGTTTTTTTTCCCCCAGCGTACGACTTGCAAGGCATTCATTCCTGCCAGAGAACACTGCAAATATGTTGATTAAATGAGTTTTCCTCACCTTGAAGATGTTATTCTTTTTTGTCACATTCCCTTGTAAAGTCCTTTTATTTGATGAGTTGTTTTAGTTTCTCGTTAAGTGTTCACAAAGGATCTTTCTCCCAGATTACAATGCTTGTTCCCTCAAGGTGTTATAATTGTCTTTAAATTGACACAACAGGACAAAAGAACAAATTGTGAAATGAGTTTTTGTTCTTCTGCCTTTTATCCTTCTTTTCCATGAGGTGATCAACCTTGGTCAGTTTTTTTCTGTTTGTCTCATCCAGTCACCACAGATATTATGCTGCGTGTTGGCACAGTTTTTAGCACTGTTGCCTCGCAGCAAAAAGGTTGCAGGTTTGAAACTCAACTGCAGCCTTTCTGCTTGGAGTTGCATGTCCTCTCCATGCATGCGTAGGTTTCCTCCGGTTCCCCCCACAGATCACAACATGTCCTATATGTTAAAAATTGTATGTTGCTTTGGATAAAAGCGTCTGCCAAATAAATAAACATAAACATTCCCTCAGCTAACATTTTATGAACTTACAGAGGAAACAGCGATTATTTACGTCAGACCAGTGAATATTTTCAGCTCATCTAATTTTTAATCCCAATTTAACAACTTTCTTCTTGTGTCTGTGTTCATACTCTCACACCCTCTAACCTCTAGTTCTTCAAACTTTTCTTAAATAGCTTTTGTTCGAGCAGATGCACCAATACAGAAACAATCCGCGCTCCACCTCGGTGTTTCAGCTCTAGAAAGCTAAACTAGGTGTGGCGTAATCTGTTTTAAATTGGCATCCTAACCAGCATTCTGAGGTCAGACTAACATTCAAGCCTGGATTTAAAAAATAGGGTAGAAATAAACCTGATTACATTTTCAATGTTCTTGAACATAAAGAGAACAACACAATGGGTTTCTTGACAGTTTGTTCTGGTTTTGAGGCTTTACTGTGCCCTGTGGTTTGTGGGAAGCACTGCTCTGTGATGTGTGTGTGTGCATGCGCGCGCGCGCGTGCATGTGTGTGTGTGTGTGTGTGTATGTAAACTGAAAGTACTCAGAGCCTACGTGAAGAAAAAGACCTGTCTAGTCAGTCAGTCTGCATAAGCACCTAACCAAACGAAGGCTCGTGTAGCAGCCTAACTCTAGCGAGCAAACTGCATCTGGATCTAATTTAAGTCTTCGTCATCTTCATCAGCAAATCCTTCCCAGTCACCCCCTCCCATTCCCTCCACCCCACCGCGCCTCTAGCTTCGTCATTCCTTTGGGCCGTGTTGCGGTTTGTGTACATGCTGGTGGATAAGCACCGGTCCATATATGCCGGAGCGCTGCTCTGCAGACGTAGCATAGCCCCTTGTGTTCGATCTAATTAGCAGGAATCGCCCCACATGGAACTGATTAATTCCAGACTTCTGGCTCATTAGAGGCCTAATCGACTCCCTCCACCCTATTTTCTCCCCCTTTCTGCAAAACGTTTCTTCTGCATATGCTGCTCACTTTCTAAAACGGTCCCCACAGGTTGCTGCTCAATTCTTTGTTCTCTTTCTAAGGGTTTTTTTTTTTAGTTCAATTCCAGAATTCATTTTGATCTTGAGGACTGTACTGAACATGACCCCTTTTTGGGGGGCCCTTCAGATGCCAATGTGTTGGAGAGGCCTTGGGCAACCCCCTCCCCCTGCTGGGAACCCATAAAGAGGTTTCCTTCTCGAGCACCATGAAAAAGTGCAGATCACTCATCTGACTAGCCTTCAAGATTCTTGAATTTCTCACCCATGTTAATGGCACTCCATTAACAGAAATGTGATGCAGCATTCATAAATATGCACCTATCAGTGTAATTTGTTTTAATGCTAGGACGTGTAAACACCAACAGATGTATGATGCTGACAGTATTTTACAGTCTGATGTTTGATGCTGCTGTCTGGTCATAAAAGTCCTCTCACTTTAATGTGACACTAAATATTTATCTCTAACATAAATAGAAAGAAGTAAAATATCTCTGTTAGTTTTGAGTGTTAACTCGTGTCACTGTTTTACTGATACGTCTCTTTCTTCTGCTCTCAGATCAGCGTGTGGGCACCTGTTTCTCTGAAATTGCTAACGGCCGCTGTGCTGCACAGCTGAACCGCCAGTACACCAAGATGCAATGCTGCTGTGAGACGGGTCGCTGCTGGGCGTTGGGTCAGATCCCGGAGATGTGTCCTGTCAGAGGTTCTGGTGAGCATGCGCGAGTAGACACTGACTCCCCACAAATGGAAGGCATCAAGTAAGAGTTTGCTGCTCTGGAGAAAGACCATCAACTCAAGCTGGAGAGCATGGAGTCATGATCAAAGTCCAAAAAAGATGGAAAAGATTCAATTACCCATCATCTCTTCATTTAGGCTGTTATTCCAAAGTATTCTTGTGCGTGAGTTTGTGTTATTCATCGCTGATCAGTTACAGAGCTGCTTCTTCCACCACTAAACTAAGATGTGATATCAAATACAGGCCATTTACCATGTGTGCCAGTGATTGTTACAAACTAAATGGGGAACATGCTTATCATTTTTTAGTTTCAGACCATCATTTGCATGCTGAATGTGGACACTGAAGCAGATCAGACCTTGTTTTTATTTTGTTTTCCTCTTTTCCCAAACCAGTCAAAGGTAAAGGCCAGCAAACATAGTTTTAAACATACTAAATATGACTTTTTTGTTTGTGTTTTTCTCTCCATAAGATGAGTACAGGCATCTGTGTATTGTTGGAGTTCCACAAGGCCTCCCTCACAGCTTCCCCAGTAGTTACTTCCCCAGCAATGGCAACATTGGATTCCAGCTCCCCCCAGGTGTACCTAATGGGAACGGTAATGGTAGAACTGGTGGCAATGGAGGGGAGGGCATCGGAGAGAATGGTGGGGCCTTCAGAGGCAATGGAGGGACCTTTGGAGGAAACGGAGGGACGTTCGGTGGAAATGGTGGGACCTTTGGAGGAAATGGTGGGACTTTTGGGAGCAATGGGGGGACTTTTGGAGGCAATGGAGGAGGACTCACCATAGGTGAGTCACTCATTTTAACACTTTTAATTCTCTACTTTATTGTACTTTAATTGATGTTTTTGAATCTGTTGTGTGTCCTAAGGGGCTGTTTCTCAGAATGAAACCATTGATTTTTGCAAACACTTCACCCACCTGTGTTTGAACGGCCGCTGTATTCCATTACATGGAAGCTACCGCTGTGAGTGCAACATGGGCTACAAGCAGGACGTTCGTGGGGAGTGTATCGGTGAGAATTAACACACACACATTCAGTTTACTGGATTAACAGTGACTGACAGCATCACGGTGCATTTCACAGACCACACTGCCCTCTTATGTTAGTTTAAGGAATTTAATACAAGCAGGAAGAATTTGCTTGAATTTGCTGATTCTTCTTCTTCCTGTTCTCCATCGTTTAGATGTAGATGAGTGTGTGAGTAACCCGTGTATCAACGGAGACTGTGTCAACACCCCTGGATCTTACCACTGCAAGTGTCATGAGGGATACCAGGGAACCCCCACCAAACAAGCCTGCATCGGTCCGTCTGACCGTTCTTTAGACTTCTGATGTAAATTGTTTTCTTTAAACTCATGACTTGGACTAACACAACCTGTTTTACATCTCTTCAGATATTGACGAGTGTATTGTGAACGGAGTGATGTGTCGCAACGGCCGCTGTGTCAACACGGAGGGCAGCTTTCAGTGTATCTGTAACGCTGGCTTTGAGCTCACTCCAGATGGAAAGAACTGCATTGGTGAGCAGCAGAAACTATAAAGGAGTCTGACCTTGAGATAAACCTTTATCTTTATAAAAATGTTAAAACTTGTTTTTCAGATCACGATGAGTGTGCCACTACTAACATGTGTCTCAACGGCATGTGTATCAACGAGGACGGCAGCTTTAAGTGCATTTGCAAACCTGGCTTTGCGTTAGCTCCTAACGGACGTTACTGCACTGGTACGACTCAGGGAACTGGGTTTGCTCTAAATGAATCTGTTTTGTGTATTTATCAGTCTGTCAAATAAATGAATGAATTAATGTGAACATCTTATCTCATCAACAGACATCGATGAGTGTCAGACCCCTGGTATCTGTATGAATGGGCGCTGCATCAACTCAGAGGGCTCGTTCCGCTGTGAGTGCCCGCCAGGCCTGGCTGTTGATGTGGACGGGCGAGTGTGTGTGGACACACACATGAGAACCACCTGCTACGGTGCCATAAAAATGGGGACGTGCTCTCGTCCTTTCCCGGGGGCTGTGACCAAGTCTGAGTGCTGCTGTGCGAATCCTGAACATGGTTTTGGGGAGCCCTGCCAACCCTGCCCATCCAGAAACTCTGGTAGTTTTTACGTATGACTAAGTGCGTCCTTTAGGTCAAAACCAAAGTTAAAAGACATGTTCAACTAATTCAAAGTGTCTTTCAGCTGAGTTTCAGGCTGTTTGCAGCAGTGGAATTGGAATCACAACTGATGGAAGAGGTGTGTTTCACTTACACACAAAGTGATCATTTATCTGAACATCTTCTGAATATCATCTGATGTGTTCTAGACATCAACGAGTGTGCCTTGGACCCAGACATTTGCCAGAATGGTATTTGCGAGAACCTCAGAGGAAGCTACCGCTGTATCTGCAACATCGGTTACGAGTCAGACACAAGTGGCAAGAACTGCGTTGGTGAGTCCAATTTTGTTCACAACGTTTTTCTAGTTGTCACCTTCATCCAACATCCTGTAAATTAGGTCTTTGGAACAATTCTGGAAGGCAAAACCTCAACCTTGGCCACAATCAAAAGAAATAGCTTCTAGCTATGGCTTTTTAATTTCACTTGTAAACATTTTTACTTGTTGTCCTTTTTATTAAGTTGCAGGATACATGATTTAATAATTTAGAATATCTAAAGGGAAGCTTGCTGAATTTGGTTTAGCAGGTTGCTTATATGTTGCTTATAACAACATTTTGGGTATCAACAGAAATGTGTTGTCAATGTTGTAGTTCTGATTACGATGACGGGATCAAGTTTTAGAATGTGGGAACCCATTTGACATTTTTTAAAGAAACATTTTATCTAGGGGTGGGAATTAAATGCATTAATTGCTATTACTTTATTAGAAAAATAAATGCAGTAAAAACATTTATGCTTGAACCCGAGCGCCCCATATTTGGGTCATAAAAAGTCTAGCGTCCCAAATTCAGCCCCATATATCGAATGTGATCAAGCTGCACTTTTACAGGAACTACAGAGCCTGAGCTGCAAGTCCACGTAAACCCTTTTTAGATGCTACAAACACAACAAAATCTAAAATTAAATAAATCATGACAAATCGCTCTTCATTTAGAAAAGAAAATGACATATTTTTTACTGCTGTGTATTCTCCAGCAGAACTTCCACTGAACTCTACACTACACCTTTATATATATTAGTAGTGCTCTGCTGCCACCTAGTGTTCAGTTCAGTACACAACATTTACAATGTTCCATGTCCATTGACACTTCATCAATAACAAATAATATTAACTAATATTTACACATCCCAATAAATAGCACAATGGTTACTTTTATAATGAGACCAAAGTAAATAAACAGACCTTGTGGTTACAGAAATGTGTCATCTGTGCCTCAGTGACGTTTTTAATTAAAAAAAAAATAGCTTGGAGGCAAATTGTCTTGAATGATTAAAATGCGATTATTAAGAATAATTTCTAAGCCTCTCATTAATTAGATTAATTATTTTTAATTGAGTCCCACTCCTTATTTTTTCCCTTTATTCCCAGCCACATACTTCCAGCAGCTGCTCTTTTGGATTGTGTTTCTATTTCATGATTTTCCCCCAGATGTTTCCAGTAGGTGATTTGGACTGCAGGCAGATTCCGAACCTGGAAAAGGACACAAACAGAATCTGGTTTTAATACACTGCAGCCTGAAGGCCTGATGATATTGTGTCTCAGGATGATGAAACCTCTTGACTTTTATTAATTACATAATTGTTGGCATTAAATTCTAAATGGGCGTACATTTCTCCTTTTTACTTCTTCTGATTTTGGTTCTGCTTGACTTTTCTGAGGTGACTAACGATGATGATCAGCAGTGTATCTTCTGTTTTAGACATCAACGAGTGTTTGGTGAACCGGCTGCTCTGTGACAACGGTCTGTGCAGAAACACTCCCGGCTCCTATACATGTTCCTGTCCTAAAGGGTTTGTCTTCAAACCCGACTCGGAGACATGTGAAGGTGAGCAGTCAGTCACATTCATTTCTGTGATGGCAACTCGTTTATTTTTTAACTATTACAGATACGTTTTTACATAGATATCACACGCACCTCAACTTTCTCAAATTGTAAAATCATTTTCTTGAGCCAGTAGTATGTGCTAAAATGACCTTTTACAATGTCACTAAAATGTCACTCCCCACCACCCTTTATGGCCAGAATACCGCATTTGCAACATGAGTGCCATTCCGGCACCTGTTACACACAAAACATTGAGCTGACATACCTGACAATGCAGTCTGGCTCCAGCACGTTTCCTACATGTTTTAGATCATGAACACAGCTGATTTGTTTAATTTAGTGATGAATCATTCCTGTAGACGCCATATGCTGGGAGACATTTCAGCTGTTAGATTAAGGTGTTAAAAAGACGATTGCACAGTGAGGAGATCAGTTTTGCTTTCGGTTCTACTAAACGGACACAAGTCAAACCTGCCTAGTCTCCCTTTAAACTACCAAAAGTTAACGCAGATGTAAAGATGTTCCATTATGCCATCGTCACGGTCATGTGTCTGTCATGTGTCAGCATTGTTCTGTCCCTCTCGAGTTTCACCAAGTTCGTGCTCATGAGTGAGCTTCTGTTTTGTTTTTGATCATTCAGTGTGTTGTGAGATTAAGACTGGTTTGTGTGCCTTTGGACTTTTGGTGCATCCTCCTTTAAATAAAGGAATTATTTTCTTAAACCACTCCTGCCTCGAGTCGTTCTGGGGATTCTGCATCTTGGGTCCAAACCTCCTGCTCTCAACGTAACAGCCATGTGTGTGCACATGTTTCAGATATAAACGAATGCGAGTCCAGCCCATGCATCAACGGACTGTGTCGTAATGTAGCTGGTTCATTCAACTGTGAGTGCGCTCATGGCAGCAAACTGGACTCTACGAACACCATCTGCGTTGGTAAGTCATCCGTTTTTATACTTGATGCACATTAATGCAACGCCAAAAAGTCCGGGACAGAAAACAACCATAACAAGCTGCAAAAGTCTTTAATTTAAAATTGTTATAATCCAGATTTAATCTCCCCTTTTTTCCAAACAAATACTAATGCAGCTCAACGTTTAAGTAGCCACTCAAAGACATCATCGTCCTCAGATGATCTCACAGACGATTTATTAGATAAATTCTTCCCGGCACGGCCTTGATCCACAAAGAGGTTGTTTTACTTCACAGAAATTCACCCCAGATTTAAAACGACATGAGGAATGTGAGCCTCTCTGTGAAGTTAAAGAGCCATTTGTTTTAAAAGTTTGTTTCCGTGGGGAGAGTGGGAATCATTTTTTAAAAAGCTGCATCCCAACGCAGAATCCATAAAAATGTAATGGTATATTAGTTAGAAAATATGCATCCATGCTGCATGAAATGGTTCTGTTAGAGTCCAAATATTTCACTTATGTTTAATGCTGTATAAATTATGAAAATACATTTTTCCATATTTCAGTGGTTTTCAGGAACTTTATGACTCACCAGCTTTTTTATAAATGCAAACGTCTAGAGTTAAAGGTTTTTATAGTTTAGTATGTTTTCATATTTAATGATGCTTTTAGTTTGTTAAACTTTCTGACAACTTACCAATGAGCAGATTTGTTTTGTTCATGTCTCCTGTTCCACTAATGTGTTTATTATCAAACTTTCTTTAATTACATGAACCAAATTAATTCATTTTGTTCTGTTGAGAACAATGAAATGTAAACATCTGCTTGTTTCCATGAAACGTTTTGAGTCACTGCCTGTGTTTGGTTCTGCAGATAGCATGAAGAGCACTTGCTGGCTCACTATCCAGGACAATCGCTGTGAGGTCAACATCAATGGAGCCACCCTGAAGTCGGAGTGCTGCTCAACACTGGGAGCAGCCTGGGGCAGTCCCTGTGAACCCTGCGAGATTGGTCAGTCCTCACACACACAAACAGCATTAATTGTATGCTGGGTCAGGGACAGCCATGACATTCAGAAGGTTGGAGCGGTTAGCAAATGTTCAGCTATAGATTGTGCTGCACAAACAGACACAGCAGTGACAGAAGTGACAGAGAGAAAAAAAATGTCTTCTCAGAGTGAGCCGCAGGTCTTAATGAATGAAGAACAAAGTCACTTTTCAAAGTCAAAAAATTAACCTGTGCTGTTGATGTTCAGGTGTAAGTAAACTTCACATCTACAGTTTACAAAAAGTACATATACTTTGTGAACATCCAAACTGGTGTAAATAGCATCCAAAGGCAAAGACGCTAAGCATTTATTCAGATAGTGTCCTCTACCTCTTCAGATACTGCTTGTTCTCGAGGATTTGCTCGCATGAAAGGCCTCATCTGTGAAGGTAAGAATATTTTATCACACAATGGTGTCACCCACTAATCTATGTGATGTCATTTTGTTCCTGTTCTTTATTGTTACTCTATGATATTATATTAAAATATGCATCTTCCTGCAGACATCAACGAATGCGAGGTGTTCCCTGGAGTGTGTACGAACGGGCGGTGTGTGAACACACAGGGCTCATTCCGCTGCGAGTGTGCTGCAGGTTTGACGTTAGACAGCAGCGGTCGCACGTGTGTGGGTAAGAAGAGAATATTGCGTGTTAAACTCTTGTTTAAGAAGCCTAAATGTAAAAGTTCACATGTTCTTGACTAATTGTTAACAGACATGCGTAGTGAGCAGTGCTACAAGAAGTGGCACGAGGATGAGTGTGGTGAGCCTCTACCAGGGAGGTACCGTGTGGACATGTGCTGCTGCGCTGTGGGGGCGGCCTGGGGGGTCGACTGTGAGGAGTGTCCCAAAGAAGGATCGCCTGAGTTTAACACCATCTGTCCCAGAGGCAGAGGCTTCGCTAACAGGGGAGATATTCTGACTGGCAGGCCCTTCTACAAAGGTATTATCAGCTGTTTACTTATTTCATTTCATTTAATTTATTTATAAAGCCCCTTCTGCGACCAATGCAGATGCCCAAGGTGCCTAACACAACACAATAAAAACGTAAAACCATCAGAATAAGATATAACAATCGTAAAACCAACATAAAATCAATTAAAGAAGGAGAGTAAAAGCAAAAAATAAAATCCTGAAAAAGATTAAGAGGCCGGGGCATCGAAACCGGGTAAAATTTGCTAATCCTGGAATGCCTCGACACAAAAATGGGTCTTAAGGCGAGTCTTAAAAACCCCCAATGAGGGTGACTGGCGCGCCGCCAAAGGCAACTGGTTCCAAAGTGCAGGTGCTAACACTGAGAACGCACGGTTCCACCGTTACCTGCACTCAGTGCGTGGAACGATCAATAGCTCCCTGTCGGCCGAGCGAAGGGCCCGCGAGGGGGCATGCCTATGCAAAAGGTTGCCAAGATATGCTGGAGCAGTTACTTGTAAGGCCTTGTATGCCAGTACCAAGACCTTGCATTTTGCCCTGTATTGCACAGGCAGCCAATGAAGGGATGCCAACACAGGGGTGATATGTTCCCTGCGCCTAGTGCCTGTCGGGAACCTAGTGGGTGAGTTTTGTACTAACTGCAAGCGTGCCACCGCACCCTGACTAAGGCCGGCATACAGTGCATTGCAGTAGTCGAGCCTTGAAAGAACAAAAGCATGTGTGGCAGTCTCTAAATGTACTCTGGACAGCAGGGGCTTAATTCTGGCTAGTCGGCGTAAGTTAAAAAACATGATCATCCAACCTGGTTGATTTGCGCGTCGAATTTAAGGGCTGTGTCCAGTTGCACTCCCAAATTTCGGATGGTGGTCTTCATATTAGATGCTAAAAGGCCCAGATTCACAGTATCGCATGGGTGTGTAGACATGCCAGGCTAAGTACAATTACTTCAGTCTTAGCGTCATTCAGATGTAAAAAGTTTGTAGACATCCAGGAGCGCACATCCTCTAAGGCATCTACAAGCTTTGGTATTGACCCATCGACCCCCCGCTGAAGGGGGAGGTAGATCCGACAGTCGTCAGCATAAAAATGAAAACGCATGCCGAACCGCCGAAGAAGATTCCCCAACGGTAGTAAGTAGATGGCAAAAAGAAGCGGACCCAGTACAGACCCCTGTGGCACACCCCACTTGAATTCCGCCCAGGTCGAGGAGGTTTCACCTACACTGACAAAGAAACTCCTGTCGGATAAGCAGGAGTGTAGCCATTGTAGGGCTGCACCGGTAATTCCCGCCCAATGTTGTAGCCGATCCAAAAGTATGTCATGATCGACCGTGTCAAAGGCCGCAGACAAATCTAACGTCAAAAGAATGACAGCATCCCCCTCGTCACAAGCTAAAAAAAACATAATTAAGAACCATTAAAAGGGCAGCCTCTACTTATAGTTGACTTTTAATTGCTATTTATATTAGAGCCGAACTGCATGTGTGTTTTCTTCCAGATGTGAACGAGTGTAAGGTGTTCCAGGGTCTGTGCACGCATGGAACCTGCAGAAATACCATCGGCAGTTTCAAGTGTCGGTGCAACAGCGGCTTCGCTCTCACAGCTGAAGAGAGAAACTGCACAGGTTGGAACGAGGGCAGTGGGAGTCAAGCGTTTCATCAGTTCAGGAAACACAGACTTAGCTGTTGTGTTCTTACTTCAGACATCGACGAGTGCCGTATCTCCCCTGACCTGTGTGGACATGGTGCATGCGTGAACACTCCCGGCAGCTTCGAGTGTGAGTGCTTCGAAGGCTACGAAAGTGGCTTCATGATGATGAAGAACTGCATGGGTACGTTTGAAGCACAACTCTGACATGTAGCTGAAATTCAGGAGCACTCATCCTACTACCTTCTCATCACGTTGTCCATCGTTTCTCTTGTCCTCCCCTGCAAACGGATGACAGACATTGATGAGTGTGAGAGGAATCCCCTGCTGTGTCATGGAGGAACCTGCCTCAACACAGATGGAAGTTTTGAGTGTGAATGTCCCACGGGATACGTCCTCAGCAACGACGCATCTGTCTGTGAAGGTGGAGCAAACAAGCTGCACACACACTGATTGGATGTTATTTATAAAGTGAAAGTAGGAGTTGTAGCAGTTCCGGGTTCAAAATGCATCTACTTGTTTTTCTCTTTTCAAGATTTGGAGGGAGAAAAACAAGATAATAAACATATATTAGTAAATGTCAAATTTCAAATAAGTAATGGAAGACTTTACTTCACAATGAGACTCTGAGTTAGAAAGACTCATTTCATGTGTTTTGGGAGCTGGCAACACGTATGTGTTGGTGTGAAAACGTAAGGCAGAAGACCATGATTTATATTCTTTCTGTTTTAGGTCTTTATCCAACAAAGATCACCAAAATCCCATGAAAAAATTATTTGTTTTGCTCAATAAAAAATCCACATTTTCCTTGTCTGAAGTGGATAAAGCTGGACCGTACTTGTTTGTTTCCTCAGATATGAATGAATGTCAGCTGAGTGAGAACCTGTGCAAAAATGGACAGTGTGTCAACATGCCGGGGACGTACCAGTGCTCCTGTAACACCGGCTACCAGGCTACACCAGACAGACAGAGCTGCGTTGGTAAACAGACCAAAAATACATGACTTAACATGCAGGACAACAAAATGTTGCTGACTGACAGTCTGAGATCTGAAGCTAAGGCCATCTCTACCTGCAGATATCGACGAGTGCACCATCATGAACGGAGGCTGTGAGACTCACTGCACCAACTCAGACGGGAGCTATGAGTGTAGCTGCAGTGAGGGTTACGCTCTGATGCCGGACCTCAGGACCTGCTCTGGTAACAAGACTTCACCTTGTGTATGCTTTCCAAACCTCCACATAGTGCAGCGTAAATGTTTCCCTATTGTATTTCCGATAGACATTGATGAATGTGAGGAGACCCCAGGTATCTGCGATGGAGGCCAGTGCACCAACATTCCTGGTGAATATCGCTGTCTGTGCTTTGATGGATTCATGGCTTCCATGGACATGAGGACCTGTATCGGTGGGTGGTTGAACACTTATTTAAAATATTTTCTTTCCTCTGTCTGACGCAGTAATTTATTCATACTAGACTTATATTTAGATACATACATTTTTCTGTCAGACCCTCTTTATGTCACTCTGACCTCCTCTGTGTCTGTCCATCCCTGTTTGCTCAGATGTGAACGAATGTGATTTGAACCCAAACATCTGTCTCCACGGTGACTGTGAGAACACTAAAGGCTCCTTCATCTGCCACTGTCAGCTGGGATACTTTGTCAAAAAAGGATCTACTGGCTGTACCGGTACACACGCACGCACGCACACACACACACACACACACACACACACACACACACACACACACACACACACACACACACACACACACACACACACACGCACACACACACACACACACACACACACACACACACACACACACACACACACATCAGAGGCTGTGCTGTCACTTAGAGATTTGGACCTCTGTGTCCAAGAGTCCAAACGGTTCATTCATGCATACAAAATCTTCAGTTTTCTATTTTAAATATTCATCACTGGGTCACATCCAGATATGAAGACCAAGCAGTGGTTTGTGGGGAAAAAAACAGAAACAACGTTTTTCTTTTTTGCAGAGAATAGTTGTAATAATAAAAATATTTTATGTAAAAACATCTGATTAAAGGTGTTTAATCAGCTTGTTAAAAATCATCAATGCAATAATACGTTCCTTCACTTTAAAAGTAAAATCAGCTTTTGATTTCATCAATCTTCTACAGCATTGAACCTTTTAGACCTAACATGAACAATAAAAACAAAAATCAGTTGATCAATCTAACATCTCTGGACACAGTTATATCAAGTCAACATTTGAAATCTGATCAAACTAAGTCTAAAATACTCCTTCAGCTGTAATATTTATGTAATTTTCCCTCCAGACGTTGATGAGTGTGAGATCGGAGCTCATAACTGTGACATGCATGCTGCTTGCATCAACGTGCCTGGAAGCTTCAAATGTCGCTGTCGAGATGGCTGGGTGGGAGACGGCATCAAGTGCATAGGTGAGTAGGTTGTGATCAGATAGTTTCCTTAATAAATATGAGTTCATACATAAAAGAGAAATACATAATTTGTCATTCCACATTGAAGTTGAACTCTTTTGTCTTCCTTCTGCAGATTATGATGAGTGCTCCTCAGAGGACCACAGCTGTCATCCCAATGCAGACTGTGTCAACACGCCAGGGTCCTACAGGTGTGCGTGCAAAGATGGCTTCAACGGCGATGGCTTTTCGTGCTTGGGTAAGACTGAAAATTAAAGCATTTCCTGCTTTTAGTGTAGGAATAGAATGAAAAATACAAGCCTCAAAGTCAGACAAATACTGAGTATACCTCTGTTTTCTAGTAAATCTTAAGTTCCTAAAGAGCCGTGAAGCCTTTATGTTGTTTACAAATCTAATCATTTTATTTTGTGCTGTCTTTTAGACATGGACGAGTGTGCCGATAACGTCAATCTCTGTGAGAACGGCCAGTGTCTGAATGCTCCTGGAGGCTACCGCTGCGAGTGTGAAATGGGCTTCACTCCCACTGAGGACAGCAAGGCCTGCCAAGGTGCTGCTCTCGCTTCTCTCTTCTTCTCTTTCCTTGAAAAGAAATGCAACTTCAGTGTCACCTTTTCTTTGCTGCCTTTGCCACCCACAGACATCGATGAGTGTAATTTTCAGAACATCTGTGTGTTTGGAACGTGCCAGAACCTTCCAGGGATGTTCCGCTGCGTGTGTGACGAAGGCTACGAACTGGACCGCAGCGGAGGGAACTGCACGGGTAAATGTTGCACGGAACAGAGTCTGGCTGATGTTTTCTTACCAAACCACAATCATACCGTTGGTATATGTCTTTGGTCTAGTCTAATAACATGTGTACGAATGTTACACCATCCACTTTTTAATATCGCCTTTTCTGCATTAGTGGAATATGTGTCAACGTCAGTTTAATGATAATAATTAAAAATTAAAGTAATTCATGTGTTTTCCTCTCAAATAACCTAATAGGTTCACACATTTTAGTGTGTGTGTGTGTGTTGCAGACATCAACGAGTGTGCCGACCATGTGAACTGTCTCAATGGACTGTGCTTGAACATACCAGGCAGCTATTTGTGTAACTGTCCTGCTGACTTTGAGCTCAACCCCACTGGAGTGGGCTGCGTGGGTGAGTTACGCCCAGAGGGTTTGAAAGTTTACAAAAACGCTTTTAATGAAAGTGACTGTCATTTTTTTTTTGTAAAATAATGTTTGAAGGATGGAAAAACATTGTTTTCCAGGGTTAAACGAGTACACAAAGGTACCGTTCTCATCCCATACCAGCTTTATTTGTAAAAGCAATTTAAAATGCAACACCAAGGATGCACAAAGTGCTGCTCACACACATTAGCAACAACACTAAAGAACACACACACACACATTGTTAAAGAGTCTAAGGCACTGTTCTACCGTACAGTTAGATGTAGACACAGAACTACTATGTTGGAAGTTACAGCTCAGCAAATGCTGGGTTCGCATTCGGGTTTGAAGCTAAGTAATAAAAATGGGTTTTCAGGTGAGATTTAAAGAAGGGAGTTGTTGTGGTCTTGCTTAACCTGCAAGGGCATGGCGTTCCACAACCTGGGCCTCGAGAATGCAGAGGCCTTTTCCCCTCTCATGATGCAGCGCCCTTTCGGGAACTTGAGTAATGATTGATCCGCTGATCTCAGACAACATCTCTGAGTGTATGGCTGAACGAGATTGGCAGCCAGTGCAGAGATGCCATAACTGGTGTAATGTAGTCAGATCCATGCGCCCCGGGAAATGCCACAGCATTTTGATACTTCAATATTGTTAAGATTTTGATTCATTTTCTTCCTTAAAAGCCATCTATTGCACCCGATAACTGCCCCTCTCTATGTAAAATAAACTCCTGGAAACAGTTTAGTATTTTGGTGCTGTCAAGGCCGGATTAACCATATGGGCAACTGGGCCATTGCCCAGGGGTCCACAAACTCTAAAGGGCGCAGGGCAGCAAGGGCACGAGCAAAATACTGTATCTGTAATCTCCCGCTTTATATTAAACTAGGGTGACCATACATCCGGTTTTCCCCGGACATGTCCACTTTTCACTCTCTGTCCGGGCGTCCGGGGGGTTCTTGTATTGATGAAAATGTCCGGTTTTCCATCCAGAAGCAGGGAATTATGGGGGAGCTGGATATCCTACACATCCAGGGGAGCCGGAAAAAACGTGTTTTACCTATATTACATCATTTATGGACTCTTCTGAGCAGAGAGCACAGAGCGATGATCGTTGGTGTGCAGCGCTCCAGGCTGCTGCGTCCAGCGCACGGTCCATTCTCAAAGTGGCGCAACCAAAAAACTATTAACACACGATCGTTCATGTCCGCACATGTTCTCTACTTCCTGTCTTATTTGTGCCTGAAGCGCTCTGCTACTGCGGAGCTTATCGCATGCGTTGCGATGACTCCACCTCACTGAGGCAGCATCAAAACACTCACTCCGCTTTGCGGTCAGGAGATCGCTTTGATCTGCTCAGAAGTAACTGATGAGGTGAAAAAGTAAGAATCCAGGCAGCAGTTTTTCTGGAGAGTTTAGAGGAGATGCAGGAAGATGAGAGACAGACAGGACAGGAAAATAGTTAAATAAAAACAAGAAAACAAAACAAAGTGTTGAAAAATAAAATGTAGGTAGATTTATCTCCACTACACATTTTTACCTGTATAAAACAATAAGTTACACACATGTCATATTTATACATCTGATACAATTCAGATCACCTTCAAAACTCAGTCAAACACCCAGGGCCATTTCAAGGCATTTTGGGGGCCAAGGCAAAAAATACATGGTCACCCTATATTCAACAAACTGTCCACCTGAGCTTTTGCGCTGCTCAGAGATGCTTTGCTGCCTATGACTTTGAACGTCAGTTGAGAGCGGTTGAGAGTCAGTCTCATGCAGACTGACCAATGATGAGAGGGCCTCAAGTTAAGACCCTCTCCTTATTGGTCAGTCCACATGAGGTGGGCCAAAGGTCACCCTGAGCGGGTTACGTGATGTCAGGCATTCAAGTATTGAGTATATTTACTGCATATTACAGTAAAATATTCTGTATGTGACCATATTATGGTGATCCTTGGGTCATGATGATGGGGCCCTTGAATATTGTTGCCCAGGGTACAACAGTGTTAATCTGGCCCTGGGTGCTGCAGTATTAAACCTGACTGACTCGTTCATTCCTGCAGCTGTGCATGTAAAACTTCTATAACTCACACATCATTCCCTCCTTCTCAGATACGCGTGTTGGTAACTGTTTCTTGGATATTCTTCCTCGTGGCGACGGAGGAATCTCCTGCAACGCAGAGATTGGTGTCGGAGTTACTCGTGCTTCCTGTTGCTGCTCTGATGGAAAAGCTTGGGGGAACCCTTGTGAACTCTGCCCCACATCCAACTCCTGTACGCACCACAGGATCTCTACACAAAATATGCAAACTGTTTAATTGTTGCAAAATTATTAGAAAGTCACATAGATTTTGTGGCATGTTTATTTATTTATTTATTTATTTGTAGCGGAATATAAGACTCTGTGTCCAGGAGGGGAGGGATTCAGACCCAACCCCATCACCGTTCTGTTAGAAGGTAAACCATCCCGTCTTGTCTGTTCTCCAGCTGGATCCAAAAGGACAGTGATGTAATTATTCTAATTATTTTATAGATATTGATGAGTGCATGGAGCTTCCAGGTCTCTGCCAGGGTGGCAACTGTATCAACACCTTTGGTAGTTTCCAGTGTGAATGTCCAGCTGGCTACTATCTGAATGAAGAGACACGCATCTGTGAAGGTATCTGCTCAGTCTTCAGATAGACCCCATGTTGCAGATCCAGCTTTCCCTACTTAGTTGTATTTCTTATCTTTATTTCCAGATGTGGATGAGTGCTCCACTCACATTGGAATCTGTGGTCCTGGTACCTGCTTCAACACTCATGGCAACTACACCTGCGTGTGTCCCCCAGAATACATGCAGGTCAACGGAGGAAACAATTGCATGGGTGAGTGACATTAACACAGGTGTTGAAGCGTGAGCCAGATCTTGTGTGTGATTTACTCCCTTTTAATGCAGATATGAGGAAAAGCGTGTGCTATCGCAACTTTAACGACACCTGCGAGAACGAGCTGTCGTTCAACATGACCAAGAAGATGTGCTGCTGCGCCTACAACGTGGGCAAAGCGTGGAACAAACCGTGCGAGGCCTGTCCTGTTCCGTCCACCAGTGAGTTTCAACACAACTTCAGTTTTATCATTAACTTCGTGGATAAATGTCATTAAAACCTCTCCTCTGTGTCGATTCCTCCAGCTCAGTACCAGAGCCTCTGTGGTAACCTGGCTCCTGGCTTCATCATTGACATCCACACCGGGAAACCAGTTGGTAAGTTAGCATAAACTTTCAAATTAACATTGTTGGAGCTAAAAGTTGCATGATGGCATGCTTTTTTTCTTTTTCTTATTGCAGATATTGATGAGTGTAGGGAGATCCCTGGTATCTGTGCTAACGGAGTGTGCATCAACCAGATCGGAAGTTTCCGCTGTGAATGTCCAATGGGCTTCAGTTACAACAACATACTACTGATTTGTGAAGGTTAGTTTCTGTCTTATTGCTCCATTTGGTCCGTTGATCTGTCTGCTGCAAAAGAGTAAAACAGAGACTTTAGCTAGTGTAAGATCCCGTTTATAAGTGGGTCCACATTGGAGGCCCTTACAATAGTTTTCAAAAGGCACTACTTAGCCTGAAACATGCAAAGAGCATGAGGAGGTGGTATGCTACACAGAAACACAATTCAGCACAAAAATGGTGGTGTTGTGGGACATTATGCTCAGTTTTAAGGCATTTTCTTGAACTGACCCAGGAAATGGTTGCAGGCAGTGAAGCAGCAGGCAAAAAACTCCGGAGCAACCAGTGACTCCGCCTCCTAGCCGATCAGCGGCCGCAGTTGCGATGCTGGCCCCACTCAGCACCGCCAGGTACCTCAGCGGAGCAAGGACTGAAAACTGGGAAATAATCAGATAAAAAATACCCAAATGTGCCGTTGGAAAAGGTTGTCAGGCTGAGCTGCACCGATTCGAGTTACTCTAGAGTACTGCTCATGGAAGATTACCTTTTGTCAGGAAATGAAAATCAAAAACTAAAATACAAACATGGGTTTCTCCTCCCACACCATCAGTTTTGTTTTGACAATGCAGGAGTTGGTAATTCAGCGTTAAGACACATAGTCTAGCATTTCTGTTAATTAATGTAATCATATCAACATACATACACAAGCAGAAATAACAGTGTGTACTCTCACATAAATACAGTGACTCTCACCCTCTTGCTGACTTTATACGACGTGCCTCACTCATTGAATTTAGTGCATCCTTTATTATTATGAATGATGTCTCTCTAAAGGCTCGTGTGCTGGCTCTGAATGGGATTACCTTGCAGAACCATCAGTAATCTAGAACCTGATGGTGACTGAACTGTACCGGAGCCAAACCGGCGCTGTTGTGTGTGTGTGTGTGTGTGTGTGTGTGTGTGTGTGTGTGTGTGTGTGTGTGTGTGTGTGTGTGTGTGTGTGTGTGTGTGTGTGTGTGTGTGTGTGTGTGTGTGTGTGTGTGTGTGTGTGTGTGTGTGTGTTAATTCTTGTCCACAAGCTGACAGCCTGCTCCGACCAGACAGTTAAAGAGGCCATGATTGATGCTTTCTCCTTCCCTTCTTCTATCACAGATATTGATGAGTGTAACAGCGGGGACAACCTGTGCCAGCGCAATGCAAACTGTATCAACATTCCAGGCAGCTACCGCTGCGAGTGCTCACAGGGATTCAAACTGTCCCCTAGCGGGGCCTGTCTGGGTGAGTCCAACACAAGTTATAGCGCAATCACGAGTCCATCGGGACCAAAAACATCCAAATTCTTTTTAGTTTCTAATTGGTGTCCAGACTTTTCATTTCATGATTTTCTATATCATTAAGTAAAATCAAGGAGCTAATTTTGCACACATCAAAGAAAGATAATCGTGTTCTAAATGACCTTTAGTATACAGAGGAACTTAAAGTGGCACCAGTACCCTGATTCATTTGTTACCCACCCATTTGAATCAGGTGTATTGTAGCAGAGAGACATTCCATACATGTATGAAGTTGACCCATAGGACCTGGTTTGGTTCACATTTATACGTACTGTAAAGTGAAAAACATACCCTCCTGAATGACTTTAATGAGTTTTTATTATTCCTTTTACTTTTTCCCAGATCGTAACGAGTGCCAGGAGATTCCCAACGTGTGCAGCCATGGTCAGTGTATCGACACACAGGGCAGTTATCGCTGTCTCTGTCACAACGGCTTCAAAGCCTCCACTGATCAGACGATGTGCATGGGTGAGGAGAAAACACAACGGACTGAGTCAGAAAAATCTGCAGAATGTTTTCACCCACATTAAAGGTTGTGTGTTTTGTGTTTTAGACATTGATGAGTGTGAGAGACAGCCATGCGGTAACGGTACCTGTAAAAACACCGTGGGGTCCTACAACTGTCTGTGCTTCCCCGGCTTTGAACTCACTCACAACAACGACTGCATGGGTAGGAGTGGTTCACAAAGCTGTTTCCTTCAATGGTCAACATCTCTTTACTGGTTCAGCAGTCATCATTTATTTCTTGCATTTCAGTAGAGCATAGTGCCTTTTTCTAGTCTTGCAAGCCATCCTATATATTAACATATATAACATATGGCCACGATCCATTGATAGTTCTCAGTCGTGGAGTGGGATCCACAGTTGTCTTTTAAACTGACAACAAACAACGTAACGTACTCATCGCTACAGATGTCAGTCAATGGGGTAGTCTGCTCAGTCGCTGTAACATCTTGCCCACCTGACTGATAGAGCGCTGCGATTGGCCGACCAAACCAATAGAGTGCTGTTATTGGAATGCTACGGATGTCAGCCAATGGGGCAGTCTGCCATACACAATGGCCATACGTCGTGAAGAAGACAAAAATACATAGTTTTTCTAAAGAAACGCGCTGTGATTGGCCAGCCACAATACTGGCCGTGGCTGCGGAGGTTCCAATGGAGCGTGGCTAGACGACATGCAAAGCAAATTCATTTTGACGGTCTAGACCAGGGGTCTGCAACCTTTCTGTTGATGAGTGCCATTTAAAATTTCATTTGAAGTCAGTGTGCCATTTCAACTGTGGCATAAAGCATACATTTAATAACACTGCATAACAACAGTTACACATTATATACTGTGAAATTTTACAGTTAGATCCAGTATTGGGAAGCATAACATCTCTTTTCCACTTCATCCTAAAACTGAACTTCATAGAACTATATTTGTTGACCGGTGTTGGCAAAGGGTAGATAAGGTATTTTAAAAAACCCTGTTCATAACAAGAACATCAAAAGACATACACCACAGAAAATACAATATGTAAGGTGTCACAACAAAGATAAGAAAAAAACTAAACTTGGCCAATATATGTTATTGTAAGGATAAACATGCTAATGAGATGTCTGCCCCTGCTTTGCATTTGCTAGTTCAGTTATCTGGGGTTCACACTTAGTAACTTTCAGGAGCACACAGGTCTCTGAATGTCCAGCAGTTAGACGGCTACGGGAGGCACTGAAGACACTCTTCATGTGAGAGAAAATCTGCTCACACAGATATGTAGAACCAAATACTGTCAATAAAGCCTGTGCAATGTTCTTGAGACAGCTAAAACTGTCTGGTAGTCCAGCAACTGAACATGCAAGCTCCATGATCATGCACAGCTGTGGATTCCAGCTGCTGCCGTAGTTCTGCAAACTTTGTTCCCCACAGAGTTGAGCTTTTCAGTTCAGTCAGCTGCATTTCCATGTCGTCTGAATCCAGAAAGTTAAAGAGAGACAAATCCAGCTGATTACCAAAGCTCTCTGGTCTGATCAGAAAAGAAAACATTGGTCCATACAACTGAAAGTCCTGAAAACGCGTTGTGAATTATGTCTGGAGTCTTCGGATGCATTCATGAATTGCTGTGGTGCTGATGCTGCACTGAGCAGACAGCTCCCTGAGGTGTTTGAAGTGGCGGAATGTGGAAGTTTCAACATCCTTTAAAAAAACTTCCAGCTTTACAACAAAAGCTTCCCAAGTGTCACACATGTCCTAAACAGTTTGACCTGCTCCCTGCAGTTTGAGATTAAGCTCGTTCAGGTGTCCAGTTATATCTGCGAGGAAAAAAAGTTTTTCAACCCACCTCTCATCTTCAAGTTCAGGATATCTTTGCCCCCTTTCATTCAGAAATGTTTTTACCACATCAAAACAATCCACAAATCGTTCCAGAACCTTTCCACAGCTAAGCCATTTAACAGCACAGTGGAGTGGGATGTCTTTGCAGGAGCTTTCCATCTCCTCGAGCAGAGACTGGAATTGGCGGTGAGTCAAAGCAGATCGCTTAACTATGAAGTTCACAATTTTTGCCACTGTGGCCGTGACATCATTAAGATCTGAATTTGACATCTTAGCGCAGAGGTTTTCTTGGTGTATGCAGTTTCATGATGGGATGGCCTATTTGTTCCTCAATTAATGTAACAGCCCCCCTGTGTTTCCCAACCATAGCTGGTGCACCATCAGTTGTCACAGCAAAAATCTTTGCAATGTCAATGCCTCGTTCCTCAAAACGCTCCATAAAATTGTTGGCAATATCCTCACCTCATGTTGTTTCAGGCATCGAGGTAAGGCAGAACAGTTCCTCTTGTACTGCCACATCACAGTATCTTACCATTACAGCCAAACGTGGCACATCATTTATATCAATGCTTTCATCCAAAGCCACACTAAACACCTGGGCTTCTTTCAAACCAGCTGTCACATTGTCACCCATTTCCTGGATGCGTCTTTCCATAGTTCTGGCTGATGCAGGTATGTCTTGAATCCTTGCTTTAATTGTATCTTTGTTTGGAAGCCCATCAAATAACACGTCTGAGGTACAGAGAAACGCCTCTTTAATAAAGTTACCATCAGTAAATGGCTTTCCATGTTTAGCAATACAGTGTGCGATACGAAAACTTGCTTCAGTTCCATGATGTTTAGTAGCTGTAAAAACTTTCAGAGTACTTGCTTGCTTCTCATATCTTGACACAGCATGTGCAATTGATTCAGCCTTCTTTTCCTCATCCTTGAATATTTTTTGATGTTTCGTCTCAAAATGCCGCTTAACACTGGAGGTACGGCAAACAACACTCTCGAGACAAAAAGCACACACAGCACGATCTCTTTGCTGCACAAAACCCCAGTCTTCTGTCCAAGTTGTCATAAAAGACCTGGAATTATCTTTTTTTGTTCACTTAGATGCCATATTTTACAGGGCTAACTAGCTAGAAACATCCTCCTCACTGTACCGGCAGGTAGATTACCGTCATCAAGAAGCGGCCTGAATGATGTCTGCCATCGCGTGGGTGTGGAGTTTTATTACTAATAATAAGGCAGTTATTTCCGTCTTTCCGTTTATTTTTAACTTCCAAATATCACAGTGACTGCATCAACAACTGAGATAATCCCCGAACAACAAGACAAAAACTAAAAATATCCACCCGAAACTCCTCTTATGCTCTGCCACGTCTTTGCTCCGACACACATGCACACGCGTTGCCAAGTCAACCAGCCGACAGAGCGTTTCGCCAGGCGGGAGGGCTGAGAGATCACATTTCAACTATTTTATGCATTTAGTGACCAAACAAGAAAACAAAAACAATTAACAGAAAATTCAGTCTGTTACAACACTTATTTTTCAACACATCATCTCAGATTAATGCTCTGTGCCAACAGTGGCACGAGTGCCCAGGGTTGCCTACCCCTGGTCTAGACTCTAGGCTAGCCATTTACAGTTACAGTATTACCTTGATTTTCTGCTTGTCTTTTATTAGTATTCTTTAATGTCACGGGCAGAAAACTATACCATTCTGTGTTATTTGTCCTTCTGATCGATGCTGCTGAAACAAAAACATCTTTGATCTTCCATCTCTCACAGACATAGATGAGTGCTTTTCGCTCCAGGGCCAAGTGTGCAGGAATGGACATTGTATCAACGGGCTTGGTTCCTTCCAGTGTCTCTGCCTCGAGGGCTATGAAAACACACCGGATGGGAAGAATTGCATTGGTAATTTTAATGGCATTACAAAGAACCATTTAGGGAATGTGTGACTTTTTAGAGTTCATAAAATGTTAGCGCTGCAAAAGCATAACAGTGCTGTTTCTTGCAGATATTAATGAGTGCATCAGCCTGCCTGGGACATGCTCTCCAGGAACCTGTCAGAATCTGGATGGATCCTTCAGATGTATTTGCCCTCCTGGCTACGAGGTGCAAAATGAGCAGTGTTTAGGTAAAACGTGTGTTAATCAAAATACACCTGTAAATTCTATCATTAAATTCAGTGTCCTGGACACGAGGAATCCTGAAATAATCTCCAAAAGAGCATTTATACTCACTCTGACTTTTTTTGTCTTAGATATCAACGAATGTGATGTAGAACCAAACATCTGCCAGTTTGGCACCTGCACCAACACTCCTGGCAGCTTCCAGTGCTCCTGCCAGCCGGGCTTTGTTCTTTCTGACAACAAGCGGCGTTGCTACGGTGAGAAAAGCTATTGTTTAACATTTAGATGCTGCAAATCTCAAGCAACTATTTTGACAGGAAGTTTGTTTTTCTCTTGGCAGACACCAGGGAGAGCTTCTGTTTCACCAAATTTGAGGCGGGCAAATGCTCCTTCCCCAAGGCCTTTAATACCACCAAAGCCAAGTGCTGCTGCAGCAAGATGCCTGGAGAGGGATGGGGACTTCCCTGTGAGCTGTGCCCACGAGAGAGCGATGGTGTGCAAATAAAAATAAAAAAATACAGTTTTTAAATATTAAAGTGGTGAGTAATTTTTTTCTTTGGTGGTTTTCAGCTGCCTTTAACACTCTGTGTCCCTATGGTCATGGAGCTCTGCCTGGACTGGGCGACACTCGAGAGGGTAAGTGCTGCAACAACAACCTCCTAAAAAAGACAATGGGAAGAGGGTCATTTGTGCAGATGTGGGGCAACAACCTGTTTTTCCTTTTCCTGTGAGCAGATATGAACGAGTGTCTGGATAACCCTGGAATCTGTCAGAATGGGATTTGCATCAACACAGACGGTTCTTTCCGATGTGAATGCCCGTTTGGATACAACCTGGATTACACTGGAGTCAACTGTATCGGTGAGTGATTAACCCTCTTGCAGATTTGCAATGTTAAAACTTACCTACCTGGTTACTTCACATACGTATTTCATTTCATCAACATTTTTTAACTCAGAAGTACCCCTGAAGGACTTAGTTGTTCCTCCTTTTATCAAAACTTAATTTGAGCCTGAGAGGGTTAAGGCATAAAGATGCAAAAATGAATAAATCTTTAAAGAGCAACAAAAAAAAAGCCTTTTACTTGTTGTTGAAATACCATCAGTGGCTCTGATTTGCAAAAGCCTCATGGAAGTTGCCTTCTACCCTTATTTCCTGCATTAGCTGCTGATAGAAAGTAGATGGGGAAGTGCTCGGGTCAGGAAAAGCCAGTCTGATCTATGTCACGCTGAAAATTAACGTTCATGGATTCACCCACCTTAGCTCGCATCTGCAGAAGGCTGTGTTAGTATCCAGGAGAGAGCAGAGCATGTCTCAGCTAGTAGAAGCTAACTGTTAGCATTAGCAAATCCACAACATGGCAGAACTCCTTCAGGCTTGAGTTGTTTGTGGAGGTAAAACATCAACATTGCAAATCAAATGGAGGCAGTGGAAGAGTTGTGCTGCTGTTAGCCAATCAGAGATGAGATGTCCAAATATCATGAATATTAATGATTAAAGCCATACTTTGCAACATTTTTCATATTTTTAAGTCATTTTCTTGAGCCAGTATGTGCTGATTCTTGTCTGCAGATTTGCATATTTTGTATTTTATTTTTGTCTTACTAAAATCTGCATTAATGCTCAGAATTGTTGTTATATATTCAGAAGAGGACTTGCCTATTTTCTCATGATGTTTAAACTTCTGCTTAATGATTGTAAAGTTCAACTCAAATGATGGTTTGTTTCTGCAGACACCGATGAGTGCTCCATAGGAAACCCGTGTGGAAATGGAACCTGCATCAACGTGGTGGGAGGGTTCGACTGTACGTGCCAGGAGGGCTTTGAGCCTGGACCTATGATCACATGTGAAGGTTAGTGAAAACACTCGCTTGCATGGTTACGCTTATTATTAAGAAGTGATTTAATATAAGTTTACTACTTTTCTTCTCAAGATGTCAATGAGTGCTCCCAGAATCCTCTGCTTTGTGCTTTCCGTTGCGTCAACACCTTCGGGTCCTACGAGTGTATGTGTCCTGCTGGTTATGTGCTGAGAGACGACCAGCGAATGTGCAGAGGTGAGATCAGCTTTGCGTTGCAACTCTGTTTTTGATCCATTTCTGTGTGTAATAGGATAAGTTATTGAATTATATTTATTGCATCTAAAATTTCTGATAAATTACCTCACTCTTTCATCCCCCAAAAGATCAGGACGAGTGCTCAGAGGGACTGGATGACTGCGACTCTAAAGGCATGACCTGCAAGAACCTGATAGGAACCTTCATGTGCATCTGCCCTGCTGGCATGCAACGGCGACCAGATGGAGAGGGTTGCATGGGTGAGTGATAATAACATTTAGCAGGATCTGCGCTCATCTCTACTCCTCTCATCCCCGATCTGTTCTGCAGACCTGAACGAGTGTCGCGCCAAACCTGGCATCTGCAAGAACGGTCGCTGTATCAACACGGGGGGAAGCTACCGCTGCGAGTGCAATGACGGCTTTGAGCCGAGCTCAACAGAAACTGAATGTATTGGTAAGACACCACCTGGATTCACACTCCAGGAATTAAAAAAACTGGTTAAGATGTCCTCCCCTTTATTCTAAACACAACTGAAGGATTAACAGAAAGAGAGAATTTGTAAGAAATCTATCTGCATATGAAAATGGTTTTCCTTTCGTCCTTCAGACAACAGGAAGGGTTTCTGCTACACAGAGGTGCTGCAGACAATGTGCCAGCAGTCATCCACCAACAGGAACAGTGTGACCAAGTCAGAATGCTGCTGTAATGTGGGTCGAGGCTGGGGATCACAGTGTGAACTGTGCCCACTCCCCGGTACCGTACAGTACAAGAAGATGTGCCCACTTGGACCAGGCTACACCACAGATGGTCGAGGTGAGAATGTACTCAAACATGACGTGTCACTTTTAAGAACTCAAAAATAAATCTAAATGAAAAAAGGCAAGTTCAAGAAACAAAAGGAAAACTCTCTAACTCTGAAAAAGCATTTTCCAAATGTCTGTTTTGCCAGACATCAACGAGTGCCAAGTGATGCCAGATCTGTGCCGAAATGGTCAGTGCATCAACACCATCGGATCCTTCCGCTGCCACTGTAACGTGGGATACAAGGCCGACTTCACTGCAACCTCCTGCGTCGGTGAGGCTGATCTCCATCCTGATGTCTCTTAAATTATCCCTCATGCAGGCTGCCATGATGAATCATATTACCAGATGTTTTGTAATCGGTGTCGACCTTCAGCATCTCTACTCACAATGATTTTTTTTCAGATATGGATGAGTGCTCGTTGTCTCCAAAGCCCTGTAATTTCTTGTGTAAGAACACAGAAGGCAGCTACGTGTGCTCCTGCCCCCGAGGATACATCCTGCAGCCAGACGGAAAGACCTGCAAAGGTAGAAGCACTCAGAGCTGCACATGGACGTAGTTTAGCATCTGCAGCTGATTGCAAAGTTTTATCAAGAGATTTATTGTTCACCTTGAAAAATGTATGATAACGCTAAAGATTTAACTTACTTTTCACTCTATTAATTCTATTTTTATATTTTAAGCTTCATACATTTTCATGATTCTTTTTTCTTTTCATTAGATCTGGATGAGTGTGCAACAAAGCAGCACAACTGCCAGTTCCTCTGTGTTAACACCATCGGAGGTTACAACTGCAAGTGTCCTGCTGGCTTCACTCAGCATCAGACTGCCTGCATTGGTGAGTCCAGATCCACATCAGAGAAAATCTATAAATATGTGCAGATTTCTGGACACTAAAAAGTCATAACATGGATTTAATGGAAATACACAATATATTTCAAGCTTTTTTTTTTAAATGTATATTTGTCGTTCTTTGCAGATAATAATGAGTGTGCAGCCCAGAACAGTGCTTGTGGTTCTCGGGCGTCATGTGTAAACACTCCTGGAAGCTTCAACTGTGAATGCTCGAAAGGTTTCTCCTTGGACAGCTCGGGCATGGAGTGTGAGGGTGAGCAGGCACAAAATACTTTTTACGTATTTTAGTAGAAAAAGATGCCTTCTTATAAAACCAGAGAGTGTGGAGGGAATCAAGCTTGTGTTCATTTTCCCATCAGATGTTGATGAGTGTGGTGGGAACCACCGCTGTCAGCACGGCTGTCAGAACATGCTGGGAGGCTTCCGCTGTGGCTGCCCTCAGGGTTACGTCCAGCACTACCAGTGGAACCAGTGCGTGGGTGAGTCACCATCACTCCAAAGTCTGAGGTCTCCATCCTGATTATCAGGACGGGCACATCCTAGGGAATTGTGCTGGGAGACGGAAACCTGGAAAAGATACTTGAAAGGCTTTTTGAATTGCTGTAGCTGTGGTATTTTTAGAGATCTGCTGAAATTTTCATCAGCCAATCGTTACCAAGTTGAATGGAATAGAATATAATCTGATATAGAGGCTGATAATGACACGGTTTGTCCTGGTTGAGTCAACTTTGCGATGCCCTGAAACTGTCCTGATTTATTTAACTTTAAAGGGTGTGTATCATGCTATTTTACACCTTCCAGAGCAACGGTTGGCACATTTTGATCAAATATTACTATTGGCACAACCAAGATGTAATTTATGTTGAAATACATATTTTTTTTCATGACTCATTACTTCTACCTGGAGATAAGACACTTAATAATAATAATAATGCATTGAACTTATATAGCGCTTGTCAAGACCCCCAAAGACGCTTTCACACACTCTCACATTCACACACTGCTAGTGATGGTAAGCTACTTGTAGCCACAGCCGCCCTGGGGAGGTCTGACAGAGGCGAGGCTGCCATTTGGCACCGTCGGCCCCTCTGACCACAACTAACACAGGCAAGTTGGGTGAAGTGTCTTGCCCAAGGACACAACAGTAGGATACCCCTGACGGGAGCTGGAATCGAACCCATAAGGCAACCTGCTCTACCACCTGAGCTACTGCTGCCCCAAACTTGGACTGAATGAAACCCTGTCTCCCACCATGCCCATGTGTGAACTGCACAACAGTACACAGCTGCAGACCCGAACACCACAGATGCATGCTTGCTGCAGATTCACCGTCCTGGATCACTCAGCGATCTCACCTCTGAGGATTCTTGGTCGGGTAGACAATGCACTATAATGCGCACAAACACACACACACACACACACATACACACACACACACACACACACACACACACACATACACAAACACACACACACACACACACACACACACACACATACACATACACACACACACACACACACATACACATACACACACACACACACACATACACATACACACACACACACACACCACGAACAGAGAAAAGCACCTAAGATGGTAGCAAAGTTTCCAATGTGTTTGGAGAATGAAACGGCTGAGGAGTAGTCTGTGCGTCTCGTAAGGGCTGTTGATGATGTTGATACATGCACTCGACTGAAAAATCGGCCTCAAAGTCCTCTTCCAGCAACAAGACCCCTGCAGCAGTCATCAGTAAAACTGAACTTGACTCTTGTTTTTCTTCACTGCCATTTTTCAACTCTGCAACTGGGATTCTGATCCCATTCTTTATTTTGGTTGAGCAGTTGTGTTATTAACTTATTACATTAAGTATATGCATTACACTCACTGTTAAGACATCAAAATGATGTCTTCTGGTGTTATTACAGGCTCTAGTAATATTACAGGTGTCAAAATGGCTTCTTCACACCTGGAGGCAGACTTTCCCTTCGTGGTCGGCAGTGTGTGGGTTCCTTTTATGGATTCAATAAGACACGAAGGATTAGACAATTGTCCATCACAGCTTGGGGCTTTATTTTCAGTTATACAAACAAGTTATTTAGAACAGCGGGTTGCCAAATGCCAGAGCCTTTGGCCAAACCTCCTCGAAAAAGCCTAAGTCACATCAAATCAGAAACTATTTCAATATTTTTACTGACGCCAGCCTTTCATAACCAGGAAATGGACCTTACACACACGAGTTGAAACTGGTTAGGAGCCACCATGTTTCCAGCAGATTCTGGACCAAAACAGCTTGCTGTTGACTTCAGATAAATATTCTTACTGGAACTGATCTCAAACCTTAACTGAAAAAACAGGACTCTGGCGTTCTGCAGAGCACGTGCGACCTTGGTTCACAGGCACCCCTTTTAGCCCCAACATAACAAAGCGAGAGCTGCTGTTACTGGCTGCAGCCCACCTTGTGCTCTTTGTAGCCAACCACAATCTATCATTTTTGTACTTTAGCGTCCATCTTTACGGTAGCAATTCACTGCATAATAAAGCTACCAGAAATCTAACACACACGGTCTCAAAACAGGAAGCTGTCATGCTGCGAGCAGGAGGGTTGGACCCAAGATGCAGAATACCCACATACAATGGACCAACAAACACTGAGAGACAAGACAGGGTTTTATACACAGAGGGAAGCAATTAGGGAAACAAGTAGCAGGTGTGTGGGGAGTAAGCTGAAGGGATCAGGAGAGACTAATTAACTAAATAGGGAAGGAACACAAAGGAAGAAACAGACTGGATAAACTATACAGAGAACTAAAGATAAGAGAACTAATAAACCTGAAACTCTACACCAGAACAAACACAAAATCCATGGGGATACTAAACTAAATGGGATGGGATAACTAAGTATAAAGTGACTAGGGGGAAACATGAGGGAAACCAGGAGGGGGCTGGGGACTACAAGGACGCAGCACCTGACAGAAGCCGATTTCATGGTATTTACAACAATAAGGGTAATGCTGATTAATTAAATCAGTCTCAGAACGTTAACTTGAGTTACTTGCTAAAAATATGTTTCAGCTTTATTAATTTCAATAGTAAAGGCAAACTATCGGATCGGGACTCGAAATCGGATCAGATTTGAAGTTAAAAGATTGGATCTGGAGCCTAAAATGCTGATCGGGACATCCCTAGTTCCAATGGAGTGTCCCTAGACCAAACTATGCAAAGCAAGAATTTAGTCTAGTTCACTACGCTATATAAAGACGGCTAAATGCCTCGTAGTACATCTCGCCGCCATTTCGCACCACTTTCACTTGCAGTGGAAAAATGGTGAGGGTGTTTTTCATGAAGAAATAACTTAACTTGATTAGGTTTGGTTTTAGAAGTTTAACCTCAATACTAACAGTTTCAGAGGTTTACTTGTCTTCAAAGCCTAACCAGGGACTGTCTGTAAACCTCTCCTACTTTTTTCCTTTAGATGAGAATGAGTGCCAGGGCGGGACGGTTTGTGGCTCAGCTTCCTGCTACAACACGCTGGGCAGCTTCAAGTGTGTGTGTCCGTCCGGCTTTGACTTTGAACAGAACAGTGGTGGCTGCCAGGATGTGAATGAATGTATGACAGGCACTAACCCCTGCATCTATGGCTGCTCCAACACTGATGGAGGCTACCTGTGCGGCTGCCCTGGAGGTTTCTTCAGAGCAGGACAGGGGTGAGGAAATGCAGAGGGAGATAACATTCAGGAGATTGCATCATGACTCGCCCCATGAAAGGATCTGTGGATGTTTTTTTGTGTTGAAGTGAGAATGATTTATTCTTCTGTGTTCTTGCAGTCACTGTATAACAGGCTCAGGTTTCCCAGGCCAGCTTGTGGAGGGAGACGAGGATGACAGCCTTTCTCCTGAGGCCTGCTACGAGTGCAAGATCAATGGAGGAGGAAAGAATGGGCGACAAAAACGCAACACTGATGGAAATGAGCTGAATCAGGTAAGTGTGTTCACAATCAGGTCCTCAGTCTGAAGTGGGCTGCTTTTGAATATCTGTGAATCACTTTGTATTTTTCTGCTCCATAGGAATCACATGTGAGTATGGCCAGTGTGGACACCCAGGCATCCATCCCCATGAACATGTCGCTGGGCTCCCTGCTCGACAAAGAGCCCATCCTGGAGTTTCTCCCCGCCCTGCAGCCCCTAGCGCATCACGTGCGATACATCATAACCCACGGCAACGCCGATGAACACTTCCGCATATTTGAAAGCCGTGATGGAAAGAGCGTGCTCAGGCTTGGCAACAGGCCGCCTCTGCCGGGATCGTACCGGCTAGAGATCAGCAGTCTGCCGCTGTTTGGGCCACGCAGGCTACATCAACTAGAGAAGCAGCACGATAGTGACTACCTACAGGGAGAAATAGGAGGCGCTCTGCGCATCAAGCTCCACATCCACCTGCACTGAGCTCAGAGTGTGCAACTGAGTTTTAACCTTTAACTCAATAACTTCTCCAGCCAGACGCCTCTCCTCTTAAAGGACCATCCAACCAGCGGGGCTGTTACAGACTATCAAAGACTGAGACGATCGACCCAACTTTACCACCCCTTTGTTAGTCGTCAAGTTATAGGTTCATGTTTTGTACGTCTTTTTTTTTCTACGCTGACACCACTCCTGACCCAGCGCTCATCTTTTAGATGCAAAGAGGTGTTTTTGTGCTTTGACCGAGGCTTGATACAGTAAAAGCAGCAGACGTAACGAATCATGTAGCACTTGTTACAACATGTGTGACATTATTTAAACTGAAGGTCTGCATTTGTGTAAAAAAGTGTAACTATTGTCTAAGAGACCTGGTCCAAGGACAGTTACACCTCTCTGTGATCTTGTAATTAACACTGGGGGTAAAGAGCCCCCCCCCCCCCCCCCCCCCAGTAATGTAGTTTTTCATTTTATGTGTTTCTGCTCTCTGAATAAAAAAAGATTAACACGAAGGACTGCAACATTTACACAGCATTTAAGGTTCTTACGTTCATAACTCTGTTCTAATGTAGCTGGATGCCATCCAATCTTCAGATGAGAGAATGAGAGAACAGGCTGTACTCTGCTCTGATGTGGCTGACTTGTGTTTCTGTCCCGCTGGGCAGTGCGATGCAGGGATTCGTGTGCTTTGCGTGTGTGTGCTGTCATGTTTGGTTACCTCAGTACCTCTCGCTGAGTGTGGACACCATGCTGTGATGATGACTCTACAACAAAAGAGGGTGCTAGTGTCCCTCAGCGCCCATCTCGAGCAGGGAAACACCGTTCAGTAGCTAAAAGACTTGAAAGAAGCTAGATCAGGTTGAGTTTGTATTTTTTGTCCTTTAAGGGATTTTGACGTCAGGTGCACTGATTCTGGACCTGAGATCCAGCTTTTTCTTCTCGTGTCAACTGTGAGAGACTTTTATTTTCTTCTGATTTTAGTACAAGCTTCAGGAGAACAGATGTAGCTGAAATGAAACTGACTTTATCTGACTTCTTTAGATCGTTAGCATGACGTCTGAGGGCCGAGTCTCGTTTACAACGCAGCAGAGAATCGGTCTCAAAGTTACACAGTGTGTTGAGCTGTAACCTAAACCACTTTGGAAAGGAAGGGCACGCATTGGTGAACACAAAACCTCACAAAAAAATAAATGAATGAATGAATGTCATGTCATACTTCATAACTTGTAATTATTTTTCTCTCTAGGAGGAAAAAAGGTGCTACATGATGCCATCGGTTATGCTGTACAAAGCAAGTGCAGTCTTTAATCTGGATTGCAAAAGTGACTTTTTTTTTTGCAAGGTTTTATTGTTGTGTGCGTCTGTTTTTGTTTTTTTGTCTGAACAACCAATATTATTAAATTTGCTTCTTGGTAATTAAATTGTATATTTTAAAATGAAATGTAGATTTTTTTTCTTTCACCATCATAACAACACAAAAACAGCAAACAGTAAGATTGAAGGTGTTGTTGTTGACTTTGTTTTGTACAGGGCAGAAACTTCCCCCAAAAAGTAAACAGTAACAAACAAACCAGACCATTTGTTCAAAAGGAAAACATCTGATTTGTTTTAAACCTACATTGTCTGTACAAAGCCAAAAAACGTCAGACTTGCATTCATACCATGATGGGATCGGTGGTGCTAAATGAAAATAATTCTGTTTAATCGTTCAGGGTTGCTGCACTGTAACAGCCAACAGTCAATAACGTTTATAACCAATTTCTTACAAAAAACCTTTTTTATACTTTGTATCTTTGTCAGTTTGTACTTTTTGTGTGTTAAACAGCGTGTGCTTACTGTAACCCAGCTTCACCACCAAACTTGAATACTGTCTTCATCATCTCTTTGCAGTCTCAGAACCTAAAAGTATTTTTTACTGTAAGCTGGACACCAGGTCGGAAGAGTTTAACTCAAACAGCTGATGACAATCATCCAGTGGCACCAACAGAACTAAGGATCAGTAAAGATAAGCCATTATGGAGCATCAAAAGGCACGCAAAGATGGAAACCAAAGATCTGTAACACCATACGACAGTGTGTAAAATCAATGATTCCTATATTGTATACTTTCATCCAGTGGCATTCATGGCAATAAAATATTATGGGTTATATTTTTAAGTGTTGTGTCATTGTCTTTTATTTTATTATTATTATTTTAAATAAATTTAGCATGTGCAGTGCTGTGGTAAAAGTGTTAACCCCTCTTAAGGTTTTCTTTTGGTTTTGTGTTTGTCAGTTTGACAGACAAAAATAAGGTGAGTAAATACAAGGATAGAGATAGTGGGAATTTGAGTCTGATGGATGAAGCTGTCTCGCAGTCTGATGCTTCTGGCCTGGAGTCTCATTCTCCCCTGTGTGTGTGTGTGTGTGTGTTGGGGGGGCAGGACACTGAAGAAGCAGTTGGAGGGATGGGTGGAGTCACCTGCAATGCTCATTGTTTTGCAAGTCAGGTGTATTGGATAGATAGCCTGGAGGGAGGGGGGGAACCAAAGATCTTCTCAGCTGTTCTCACTCTTTTTTGACAGGATGCGGTGCAGCTGCCATACCACGTAGTGATGTAGCTGGTCAGGATGCTTTTGGTTGTTCCTCTGCAGAAAGTGGTCAAGATGGGGATCGGTAATATTTTCATTTATGGGGGGAAAGAAAAATCTTCTAACTAACTTGGCCCAATTTTACCCCTTATCAAAGTATAAAGTAACATCAGTTAATCTGACTTCAATCTCAATAATCCAATCCAATCCAATTTTATTTATAAAGCGCATTCACAAGGCATTACAACCAAACAAGGCGCTGTAATCATAATACAGGCTTGGGTATAATAATAATCATACCCAAGCCTGATTTCCACCAAACTGGTTAAGAATTATCTTCAATAGGAACTATCTGACAACAAGAAGTAGCCTAAAAAATCTAAAAAAAAAAAACAGTACACATTGTTTCATCCTAAAGGAATTTAACAACTCAGAAAAACACTTTGGAGCTCCAGCTGAGCTTCAGCACATTTGCGGTGCTCTCTAGAATAAATGAATGCCTTGTGACTAAATCTCTGTAGGGAAAAAACCTCAGGCGTCATCTGAGGGGCTCCTGTTTTGTTAAGTTGATGAGAGCCAGGGCAGAGTTGAGTGGAACTCGGCAGGTTTTGGAGCTAACGGTTAGCTTTTTCTAGCCGATGCATGCTCTGCTCTCTCCTGGGGGCTAAATCTACAAAAGGCTTTCTCATTGTGAATCAAGATGGGTAATTCCATGGATGCTCACTTGACAATATGACGTGCAATTGACTAGCTAATCCGAGAGTTCCCTCGTCTAATTTCTATCGGTGTAGGAAATAGGGGTAAAAACTATTTTCATGTCAGCCTGCCCATTAAAGGGATACTTTGCAAATTTTTCATATTTTTAAGTAATTTTCTTTAGCCATTATGTCCTAAAATGACCTTTTACAGTATTACTGAAAGGCCGCCCAGCCCCTATCGCCACCTGTGGCCAGAATATTTCACTTGCAACTTCAAAATTGAGCTGACAAACCTGGTGCTGCAGTCTGTTCCAGCACAGTTCCTGCATGTTTTAGATCATGAACACAGCTGATTTGTTTAATTTAGTGATGAATCCCTCCTGTAGACACAGATGAAGGCTGGGGAAACATTTCAAATGTTAGATTATGGTGTTAAAAAGAAAAACTCAAAGGAAGAAAGGTTTTGCTTTTGGTTCTACAAAGGGACACTAAGGGGTGCTAAAAGCGAACCAAAACTGCCTTGTTCCCATTCAAACCCAGAGTAACCAATCATATTTCAAAAGTAATAAGTAGTTTATCAGTTAACTTGGTCAGGTCATAGATGAGGGTTCAACTGTTTGGCCAAAAATGCATCATGAGAGAATTGTAGGACTAAAACCTCCCAACACTTTTGGGAAAATGTTCTGTGGACTGACAAAATGTGTGGCCCGATCCATCTGGATTCAAACACTGCATTTCACCCTCAGGACATGCACTTGCTGTAACCGAAAAAACAACAAATTCTGTTCTCTATCAAAAAAAATATCTAGAGACAATATCTGACCTTTGACCCTTTACAGACCTCTTCATGGTGGGAAACCTCTGTGAGACTCATTAGCTGCCTTGCAGTACTGGGTTTTCAACAAATAGATTTTGGTTGGCTTGGTTCATATTTTTTTTTCTCTTCCAAACATTAAAATTGTGATTTGAAAACGGTATTTGGTATTTAGATTATGGCTCTGAAATTTAAATTTGCTGATCTGGAACACTGAAGTATGACTAAAAATCAAAGGGCAAATCTGTAAGAGGGCAAAAACGTTTTCACAGCACTGAAAGCACCGATAACTAACAAAAGCAGCGCAAAGAACACAGCAATGGTAGGTAGCAATTGTTTTATTCATCTCCCAATATCAACAGTGAGCTCTCAACAGAGTCCTGCGACTAGATCAATAAGGGACGAGTAATTGAGGACAGAGGTCTTGCTTAGTTTTGTTTTATTTGCTGCTTTAACCTACAACTACAAAACAGCAAAGCAATCAGTTTGTTTTAAAACAGGGCAGCATGGCTACTTCAAACCCCTGCAGTCAAAGAGATTTGAATATTCAGAGAAAGAGACAAAAGGATTGAAAAACAGGAGACTCTGAAAACTTGAGTGAAGAGTAGAAAAATAAAGCTTCTTTTTAGCCTAAAGGTTTGCTTCATCTAAAGAGCAGAACATAAACTCTACTTGCAAGTAATAAAGGAGCACATAGTTATGGCTTCTCAGTTGTAGACACGACACACAAAACTGGTGGAAGCGTCCTGCAGTTCGAGGATCGTGTCAGGAGTGAGGAGTAATGAAACTGGTTGCGTGTGCTCCTTGATCAGCACTTTGAACAGGATCTCGCTTCATTAAAGGGGCATCTGCTTAAATGTAAACTCCGTCCGAGTTTGTCCTCCACCCGAGTTCCTTTATCTGCCCGTGTAATGGAGGTTTCAGTTGGAGGTGCTGAGTGATGTTCCTAGAAATCTTGTTGATGTTGTTGACTGTTATCGTAGGTCAGGTTGAGGCAGCTGCGCAGCTCATGGTTTCTGCCCTTGGTGGTCCAGTATCTTAATATGAGCATCATGTTGAACCACATCTGTTGTAGTTTTTAGTCCTGCAGCCTCATTTTTACACCAGTAGTTTAAACCCAACAAAAATAAGCATGTTTTATAGTGCATTCAAAGTTTTACAGCATGTATTATCACAATCCAAACCAAACAAAATAATTTGACTGTGTGCATTGAAATCTCCCCTTTTCCACACCACCTCCACACCCTACACCAGTGCATAATCAAACTGACCCCTTTCCAGCCCCTCCTTGTGGTTAGTCCAGGATGATGCAGGCATGCGGCTGTACGGGTCCAGCAGGATCCTGAAGCATCTGACCAGCAGGAAGACCAAGAAGAGCATGAGGAGGCCTACGAAAGCCAAGGCGGTACGCTGTTCTGTGTCCACCACCACCAAGGCCAGAGGGGCGCTGCTGCTGCCACCGCCAGGACTGCCGGGCAGGGAGGAGCTGGACGGGGACAGCAGCACCTCGTAGTCGAGTGTGGCCACATCGTTCATCCTCCACGAGGCCCAAAGACAGGGCTTACACACGGACTGGATGGTCGCTGTGTTGGGTGGAGGTGTGGAAAAGGAGGAGATGGTGTTTATGAGGAATCTTGAGGAGAACCAAAGATGATAGCTTGCAAGTTAAATGTGAGACCCTTTCAGGCTTTAGTTCATGGGGTGTGTTTGTTTAGGATGTGTGTGTTTTGACACTGTCCTACATTTTTTTGTTGTAGCTACTTTATGTTGATCAATTCAACCTGACAATGACAGGTTGTACCCTAATCTGACACACACACACATGTAACACACACAAAGACTTTTAAATGAGCATGAACTAGTTTCCTGTGTGCACCAAAAGAGTCCAACGTGGCTCCATTTCTTTCTTATTTTAGTGGCCGTGCCTGGGGCGGTAATTTTTCTATTTATCAGAGCCGCGCTGCACATCAGCTCCCTCCTTCTCTCTCGATCATAGCATGCAGGACGTGACGATGTCTCCCATTAATGCAAACACACATAAACATCACTCTGCACTGCCAAGGTCAGTGTTGTCTCAGAGAGCTGATAGAGTGCAGATGGACATCTAATACCCATGGATTCGGCTGTTTTCCAGCTTGCTTCGTTGTTGTGCCACTGAACCGAGATGCTAACACGAGTGTTGCAAACAGGCTATTTAAAGCATCTGCAGAGGCCAATAACTGGCTCTGTGCGTGACTGCTTGCACTCATGTGGTTGTTTTCCTTGCAGCTAATTAGATCTGGAGGTCAGCTGATTAATGACCCTGAATATTAAAGGACTCAACCTTTTTGTGCTAAATGCAAAGTCGTGCTTTCGCCCGGCGAGCTGAAGCAGGATAAACAGGGCAGTGCTGTCAAATATCAAGAGAAGTTCCTTGCACCATCCCTCTCCCTCCTTGATGATCGTGTCCAAACACCGGCTGGGTCTCGTGAGAAGCAACAATGTAGAAAATGTTTGCTGTCAGTCAATAAAAAAGCGGCTTCATCTGAGAGGTTTTTCCCAGTGGGCGTGAGATGCTTTGGGTTACACCGAGCTAGGTATCCGCACCTAAAACAAACAGAAACATCTGGTTAGAAAAATCCAAAATATCGATGCATTTAAAATGCAGCTGTACAGAACAGGAAGACAAACTCCTTCCCTCTTCCTTTCATCATTCGGTGTGATAATTATGACCCTCTGCTCTTTAAGTAACGCCGACATTAGCCACCTGCACGGAGAACACAGCACAGGCATTCTCTGTAATGACACTCAATTAGGAAGCTGATTATGGTGTCATTATGGCCACATTAGCAGTAATGAATGCATGATTATAAACAACGATGGCGCATTACCTCACCGCCATTCGTCAGTGGGCTTTTAAAGACCCCCTTTCATTAGTTTGATAACTTTACAGAGGCAAAGACAAAGTGTCGTGGAGCTTTATTAATAATTTATAATCATGCCTCCCATGGTGGGCAGGGTTTCAAATCACTGAAAGAATGTGAGGTATGTAGGAGAAATTATGAAATCATTAGTTTGAATAAATTAGATGCCCAAGAACATTCTGCTGATGTTGAAGATGGTTTTTGCTTATAAAGTGTCATGTTCTGTGTCCCTCTGTCCCCCTGTCCCCAGCCTCCTCCTGTTCTCCTCCTGTTCTCCTCCAGGTTCTCCTCTTATGTCCCATTATTTTTCCCAGCTCCCTCTAGGCTTCCCTCTAGTTATTAGTTGTTTATTTTTGCCTTTAGTCTTTAAGTTTAGTTATTCCGTGTTTTATAGGTTAATGTTTATCTTCCCTCCAGATCTCACTCACACCTGTCACCTGTTCCCCTGATCATCTCCCTCTGAAAGCCCTGTGTGAAATCCCTCGGTGTTTGTTGGTCCATTGTTGTGAGTCAGCGTTGTTTTGTTCCCTCGTCATGTTCTAGTCTTTGTGCTCATAATTCAGCTTTTTTTTTTGGCTTCCTGATTTTCAGTTTTCTGGATTTGACTCCTGCATCTCTAAGTTATTTTGTGGTGCCACCTTAATAAACGGATTTTACCTTTTTCAACTGCTCTTGCCTCGAGTCATTCTGGCTTCTGCGTTTAGGGTCCTACCTCCTCCTGCTCAGCGTGACAATAAAGATAAAAAAGAGGGAGCTGAGCAGAAGTTTCTGCGGAGCTAAAGATGGATGAGTAGAGCGTCCTGTAGATAAATGGGCAGCAGTACAGAGGAGAGATGAGAAGCTCGCTTACACAATCTGCACCAACTCTTCTCTGCATTACCACGGTAAAGTCCCTCCTCCTCACCATCCCTGCCTCTGCCTCTCTGTTGTGTCCAGTTCAAAGGTTTTCTATCTGCCACTTCATCAGCCGGTGTCTCCGGGGTGCTCGCAGCACCAGGCTGGCTGGCAGCAGGATGACACACCTGGGAGGTGACACTCACATTCAGAATGAATGTGCACTTTGTGTGTGAGCAAAAATAGACCTGCTGCGGACGTGCAACCACTTCCAGATATTTATTGACTTTTATCAGAGTGAGACACAGAGTCCTGAAAATGTACAATCACTGAAACTGTTCAGGAAAATGGACTTTCGTAATATTTTGAGGACAAAATACCAAAATGTTTTGGCTTTTCACACATCTTAAAGACCAAGTTCACTCACTCAGTGGTGAGCAGAAAACAAGCAACACAACTCTACCACTGACTCCATTTTCTTTTCTAAGATGATGTTTAATCTCCACAAACACAAGCCTGAAGGAGTTCTGCTGTGTGGTGGAGTTGCTAATGCTAACAATTAGCTTCTACTAGCTGAGACAGGCTCTGCTCTCCCTTGGCTGCTATATAAACAACAGCCTTCCCCTCACGAGCCAAGAGTCCATGACTGCTAATTTGGCAACATGACCTGCTAATGCCACTGACTATGCAGGAAAAAGAGGTAGAAGACTATTCTCTCATTCAGCCTGCATGTTAAACTCAGAGTGACTGAACATATTTAGAAAAGAACAAGCAAAAAACAGATTTTCAGTGAACTTTGCCTTTAAAATATTAAATAAAAATTAAGCCAAGCAACATCCAAAGAACTCATCCCTACTGGAATGACAAACATGAAGTGAACTGTTTCGTTGTTCAACCTGAACTCTAACATGCTTCATACACTCTGTTCAAAACTGAGTCTTTAAAAAGGAACAATTCTGCACCCTTGGTGACAAAAACACCTTAAAGTGACGGTGTGTATTTTCCTTGGTGAAGGGGAGCAGTACATGAATCACTGCAAGCAAGCAGTGTTTTTGTGTTCGACTAAGACCTTACCAACAGATGGCCATGAGGGCCAAAAATCCCTGGGAGCACAGCCTCCAGCAAAATAACGCATCAGACTCCCTAACGTAATGTTAAATGTGTAAAACAACAATGATTATGAATGGAGAAAATTTTGTAACTGTTTGTTACAAATTAGTAAATGCATTATGTCCTCACAGGCTAGAAGGAAACATTCTGTCTAATATGGCGTCACCCAGAGACTTAGACCTGCTTCCATATATTTTAGACCCGGTTTTTATGGTTATATGTTTTACAGCCGCCAGGATTTTTCAACAACTGGACATTGTTTAATTCATTTTTAAAACAATAATTCCAGAGATTAACTGTAAAAATACACATTGTCACTTTTTAAATCTACCAAAAGGAAACAGAGTCACACATACAATTCTTTGTGAATCCCCTGTTAACCTAACAGGCACGTTTCAGACCCAGTAAAAGCCTGAGCCTCAGATAAAAGCCAAACAAACACAGAACATGCAAACTCCTTCAAGAAAGTCCAAACCAGGACTCTTTATGCCTGTTCTGTGTTTTAAATGGACTTTTAAAAACTGTCTTTATAGAAAAAAGAAAATATAAAATTCCAAAAAGTATATCAGGTACTTTTATGTTATTGCCTACTTGCAAAGGTACTCCATCTGCAGTGGATTACATGCAGACAATATCAGAAAGTCCTCAATATTCAGATTTCAGTGCAAAGAAAAGATACTTGGAAAGAATAAGCAGAGATTGTGTTAAATTCATTCTCAGATATTTGTTTTTAACCCTCTGATGCATGAATTATGAGATCTTCAACCATGATTTTTTAAACAATTTTTTTCATTCATCTTTAGGTGTGAATGAAACAAATTTCAACAAATATTTTTGTAATATTTTGTTAATTTACTAATAATTTATTACATGTCCATCTCAGTGGACAACGTGCATTCTGAACATGAAATATGTTGGCTTGACTTACTGAAGTCCAAATGGAGGGGCTCACATGCAATAAAGTCTTCAACAGCTGTGCTTAATAGCAAAAATAAAGAAATAACAATTCTGGGTACCTGTCCACTGTAGTGACCATTATGCATCAGAGGGTTAATAAAAACTTAATTCTTTGATCTTCAGTCTTCATTGATCATAACAAATGATGCTAAACCTCTAGAAAAGACAAAGCTGAAGGTAATAAGAGCCCTAAATAAGCAGCAGATCAAACCGGGCTGCAGGAAAAAGGCTGACAAGGCGAAGCCACTGACTCCAATTAGTATCAGAGACTAATTTTGTTGATGCAAAAGTATCCAAAGACTGGGAAACAGGATAAAAAGGATTGCATTTCCTGTGTGGTAGTACTTGTAATTCTACAGGTGTAAAAGTACAAAGACTCTATGTTTTCTGTGCATATTGCAGTACCCTGAAACTCACAAATAAATACACATTGTAAACACAAAGAAGACATCCAAGCTGTTTAAAAAACTAAATGAAGAATGGAAAGACTGCAATGGAAATGCACAGTGGTTTAGAGTTTTGGAGGGACATAAGTTCTCTTTTTCATTACCAATTAAAAATATATACTTAAAAGATAAGAAGCAAATGCTTTTTTAAAATAAGAATATAATATTTATCATACATACATCCAGTACATTTCTACCTTAAATGTAATTTATTTTTAAATTGTGACCTGAATCCATAAATAGCTTTGAATCCAGATATTTTTAGAAAAAGGAACCGTGTCACAATTACAGAAGTAGATGCACTGACCCAGGAGTCCTGTAGTGTGTGTGTGGGGGGGTGGGGGGTGGGGGTGGGGGGGGGGGGTGCATGTTAGGCTGATACGGAGTGATGGAAGGAGTAAAATGTAACAAGGAG